TGTCGGAAGAAAAACATCACATCCCCCCAGCCAAGGAGATAGAATACAAAAGTTTAAGTAAAATCATTGCCACCCTTAGCAAACACTTAACCTCTCAAAAAAGGAAGGAGGACTTATAGTACTTAGATTGTAGTTTATCCTCAATAAGGTTTTTTTTCAAACGGGTAGATGCTATTTTTGGAGCTCCAACCATAGTTACTTGCCGCATAATACTTTCTGTAAGTTATCAATGTCATTATTGAATCTGATAGTATCATTTATTTTATTTAAATTTACGAATTATTTACATTTAATTATTAAATTGAGATAATTTTTAAAATTTTATAAAAATTTTAATAAATAATTTAATATACTATTGAATTTAGTAATTAAATGTAAAAAAACTCATAACTAGTTTGAGGAGAAAAAAATAAATAAAAATCAAGGCTTTTAATTCTATAAATAATTAGTTTATTTATGATGGAATTAATGTTTCGATGGTATTTTCCTGCATAATCATTGTCATTAGTGTCTACCACCATTAACACGAGTATATGCTATATACTGCAACACCATTATTGATAATATTATTTCATAGTTTGTGTATTGTTTGATACGCGATATATCGATTGATATGCGATTTTTTAAAAAATTTGATATGCGATTCATGTCAACCAATTTATATTAATTTTATTCGAATTTATTACACTATAATCATAACCGTTACTGCAAATCATGCACCACTCTTCAAAATATTCTTTTTTTAATCAACTATTGAGATAGCGTCAACTATAACAAGAGTGTGAATTTGCCCAAGCGTGAGAAAAGGTCAGTGAATTTTACCCATAAAAAAAATTATTGGAAAAGTAAGATCAGGACCATTGAATTGAAACTGATGTGGGACCGTGGTGCATCGGCATTAGAGATCAAAAGCGGGAAACTAAGGACCCCACTTGAAAAATGTCAAAATCAGCTGGTTCCGCAAGCATGCGTGATGATGATTTCGGTCAATCAATCATCATTCCACTTCTTTTTTAAACTACTAGGCTGATCTCGAGAGGCTCTCTTCAAAACTCTCTATAATCCGAATTTACTTACCTATTTTTATATTTTTGTAAATTTAAGGTGCGTTTAAATAAATAGAAGAGAAAAGAAAAGAAATGATAATATTAATTGTTGATGTCAAAAATCTACACGTTTCGGAGTCGGTGGCGATTCCTGCAAAACAAGAGAAGTGATAATCGGCATGGTGCCGGCCGGGTGCACTCCGACGATCATTAGTTATGAAAAAAAAGAAAAGAAAAGATAACAATAATTTCTATTTATGTTTGAATAGATAGAAAAGAAAGTATAGTATTCTTGTTTGGATATGATAGAGAGTAGAAAAGAAGAAAAAAGATAACAATAAAATTATTATCATATTCTTCAAAATAGATAAGATATGAATGGAATAATAATTTCTTCCTTTTAATTGTTGAGGGTAGTTTCGAAATTATGAAAATACTACTTAAACACTATATTTTCTCTCCTTATCTTCTCATTTTTGAAGAGATAGAAAATGAAGGATATGGAGGGATAGCTCCTTATCCTCTCTTTTCTCTAATTTTAACCTACCCAAACACAATTTACACTATTCTTTCTTTTCTTTTCCCTCACTATCCCTCCAAATCTCTCAATCCAAACATACCCTGAAGTTCTGTCAAAATTATAGTAGTAGCATGTTTCCATTGTTTCAATAATTATACTAAAACTTGTCTTTATTTAATTTATTATTTTTATAACAATAAAGTAAAATAAATATTACAATCAATGTCAAGGTTAATATTATAAAATTCTAAATTGTTGATAGTTAAATTATATTGACCTTCTTTAAAATTTGGATAAGTTATATATAAATAAATTCGTTCAACGTTTTTTATTTTAATGAATTTATTGATTTTCTTTATTTAATTTTGTGTTGGTTAAGTTTAGATTCAGTTCAAGTCATAACTTTAATCATTTAATTTCATGTTGGTTACCAAAGCCTAATAACAACTAGTTCGTATAATTAATCTTCGTCTATTTTGTAATTTAGTGACGGGAAAATTACTCTTTTTTGAATTGTTGTAAATTACAAAATAGAGTTGTTTATGCTCTCTACAAAAACATAAAATACTAAAAAGATCTTCTTGGCTATAGTAGGGTCCATAAAAAAGGGTTAAAGTGGTAAAGAACCTTTGAGAGATTCATTTGCTCTCCATAGTCGTTGATGCTTAAGTCCTACTTCTTCTGTCCTAAAAAAAATGTCTTTTTCGAAAAATCGCGACTCTCACAAATTGAAAAGTCACGGTTTTTTAAAAAAGACATTTTATTTTATTTTTTTAGACGAAGGGAGTATAAAACGTTCATATTTCTAATTTTGCATACATCTTCTATTCAGGAGTGATAAATGAACGAATTTGGTCGGATTTAGATAATTGAAGAACGTAGATGGTTTTAGGTAAGTTGAGAATATGTGAAGATATACATCTTCTATTCAGGAGTGATAAATGAACGTATAATTAATCTTTGTCTATTTTGTAATTTAGTGACGAGAAAATTACTCTTTTTTGAATTGTTGTAAATTACAAAATAGACCTGTTTATGCTCTCTACAAAAACATAAAATACTAAAAAGATCTTTTTGGCTATAGTAGGATCCATAAAAAAGGGTTAAAGTGGTAAAGGACCTTTGAGAGATTCATTTGCTTTCCATGGTTGATGTTTAAGTTATACTTCTTCTGTCCTAAAAATAATGTTTTTTTCGAAAAATCGCGACTCTCATAAGTTGAAAAGTCACGGTTTCTTAAAAAAGATATTTTATTTTATTTTCAAATGAAGGGAGTATAAAACTCTCATACTTCTAATTTTGCATGATAGAAGATATACATCTTCTACTCAGGAGTGATAAATGGATGAGTTTGGTCGGACTTAGATAATTGAAGAACGTAGATGGTTTTAGGTAAGTTAAGAATATGTGAAAATTGAATAGTGGCATTCTCGTAAACCTTTAAAGTGTAAACGGGTGAATTTAGAAATAGGAAAGAGCAGGAGGAGGTGTTTACTCTAAAAGCAGCTGGGGGTGGGTGTGTGATAAAAGGTGATCACAAGCCTCCCGTGTGGTCAATCATAAGCTTTGTCTCGAACAATCATGGACCACATTTTTCAATTCATTTTTTTCTAAGGTAACATTTTTTCCTTTGGTTCATTTATCAACCCCATCATTATGGTCCTCACAAGAAATGCCTCATTTTTGGCCCCACCACCCAACTTTTTAGACGCACACACTGCCAGTATCATGGAATTTACTTATTTTAATTCATTTGTATGTAGGATGGCTGACAATCTGGGCAGGTTCGTAGGGAATTGTGCTTGGTGTCTCATCTAAGTTAAGTTTGATAATTCAGACTTTAAATGACAAAATTACACACACAGACACACACACATACATACATACATACATACATATATATATATATATATAGTTGGTAGTTGGTTCTCGCAGGCTTTCTTAAATTCCTGGCTTTCTTTTAAAAAAGTACAATAAATACATGATACTATTAGATTACTGGTCGGTTGACCATTGCTTAATATATTAATATTCTTATATATTTCTCAAATTTTATATGTGAATGTGTCTAGGCAAATTTCAAATAAAATTAAAATAAAGAATTATCTTATTCACATGGGTTTTCTTTTTATTTAAAAAAATTGACAGTAAGTTAGGTTGAAAAGAAAAAAGAATTTTAGAAACTTAAACGTGATTAATTAGTATGACAATAACAAGTCTATCATTAATCTAAAACTTTTACTATATATGTACGAACATTGGTGTGCATCTGCCAACTCATTAATCTCTCAATACATCAAATGCTTTTCACTGATCATGAATATCAACTTATAAAGTCATATATATTCATCATTTAATATACACTGTTGTAATGTAAACAACACTCTCAAATATCATCATTTTGCACAATCACACAGCTTAATTATTAGGTCCATGTATTGATGGCCACTCAATTTATAGAGAATTATTATTTCCACAATCCATAAAATTATAATACCAAAATCTCTTTCTCATAATTGCGGGATGGAGTTATTGATCATTATTGTAAAACATGGAAAATCATCTCTTCCTCACGATCCATCCACATAACCATAATGATGATGTAATTTGAGTACCAAAAAACATAGCAATCAAATTTAATGGTCATTAGGGTTTGATGTGGATGCATTTCTTGCTCGTTAGGGAGTAAAAGATTATTTTCCATTAGTAAGAAATACACACACTTACTTTGACTATTTGGGGATTCGAACCCTTACCATTTACTTTGGAAGGAAGATAATATATTAGTAGACCATAAGGCTTTTGGTTGGGCTAGCCCTTTAGTCCCTGCCATTTGGTATTCCTCTTTAGTTAGTCCAGGCTCAAAACGAAAGTGGGCTGACGTTTTTTAAGCCCAAAACAACAAATCTCCAAGAAACGGGCCTTTCAAAATTAACTAGTTCGAAATAAATAGTAATTGTTTAGATTGCCTCGTGTTTTGGAAATAAGGCCTGTAGACTATCTTAGTTGGGTCATCGACAGTGATGAAATCAAGCCTATTTCCCTGTAGCCATTCTAGTTGGATCGTCGGCCCAATTAATAATCACAAAGTCTCGTGGGCTTAGACCCATTACAAACCAAGCCATCCAATGGACTGCAAATTGGATTCTCAATGAGACCAATTTAAACAACACCTTGTAATATTTAGTAGGTCCATCTCTCCAAGCCCATTGCTGAATCACTTTCACGTTTCTCAACTCTTGCTCATAGTTACAGAAATTCTTCAAAACTTCGAAGAAATTTTTAAAAAATATTTGGGAATAACGAATTTGTAAATTGGATTTAGATAAAAAAAAAAAAAAACTTAGTAGTTTGAATTATTATTATTTTTCTAATTTTAAATTTAAAATAGAAATTTGATACTCCCAAACATAGTATTAGAAGATTCATAAAAAAAGTCAAACGAATCCAATTTTATTTTAAAGAACACATAAGAATTCCAATCACAAATTGCAAATTTTCAAAAATGAAAAGATACAACATTTAAACCTGGGATGAACCTATATCATGAATGATTTTGATTCATGATTAGCCCAACCTTATTAACATGAAGGAAAAATAAACACAAACTTGTTACAATACAAAACAACACACCATTTTTTTTTTTTTTCATTAACAATTGATTTTTTTCTCATCACATGCACCATTTCAGCTAGTGTCAAATGCAGAAAAAAAACCCCCATCAATTCCACCAGCAGAAACATCCACACCACCACCACCACCACCATCAACTCCGCCACCATTGCCTCCACCAATAAACCCCTGAAACAAGTTACCACCTCCGCCACCGCCGCCGCCGCCACCGCCACCGCCTCCACCAATACCCATTAATCCCTGCACCAAAATCTGACCTGCAGCCTCAGAAGCACCACTAACTAAACCCTGCATCACCTGGTTCAGCAACACACTTCCCTGTCCATTTCTTCCATTTTGTCCATAAACACCTGGATTGGCATACAAATTATTTGGTATGCAATTCGGTTGTCCATAAACACTTGTGTTGTTTGCATATAAAGTATTTGGTACGCAATTCTGCAAATTAGGCCTTGCTGTGTATTGGGTCCCAAGAACATGAACCTGATGAGTACTAGGGACGCCTAGTCTAGTTTGGCACTGTTGCATCTGAATTGCTTGTATTGGACTTGGATGAGCTTGAACTGGCTGTTGCATCATAATTGCTTGTATTGGACTTGGATGAGCTTGTTGCATCTGAATTGCTTGTATTGGACTTGGATGAGCTTGAACCGGACCTCTTGGCTTCGTCGTTGCACAATTCAGATGTGCATCAAACTCGCAAATGTTGCAACGGTAGAGCCAGTGGTTGGACCCTGCGTTCCTGCATATATCACAAGAAAAGCCCTTGTTAAGGTAAGGAGGTGAGAAGGTGAGGTTGAGCTGGTGATGGTGAGATTGGTGAGTGAGAATCAATGGCATCGCGGCGCAGAGCATGTGAAGGTCAACGTTACAAGCTTTGCAATGGTAGGAGAATGAATTACCCTGCAACCCACAAGCATCACACTTGAAACAGCCTTCGGGGTAGATGGGGATTGGGTTGAGAGTGAGGCAATGGCCTTGGTCAAACGGATGTGTGATTTGCTGAGGCATTTCGGAACATTTGATGTGGAGGATGTAGTTGCAGGTTGTGCAGGTGTATACCCATCCTGCAACATTGAGCTTGCAGCCTGAACATGAAGCTAGGTTTAGGGTTTGTAGGGGTTGATAGTTGTAGAGCTGCAAGGGATGTGGATGGCTGAGATGGTTGATTGTAGGTTCAGGTTGTGAACTCAGCTTCCCCATCTCCCTCTCTCTGATCAAATTGGTTTTTGCACCGAAACCATATTATGCGATCAAAGTCAACACATTCTTGACTTTAGCAAGCAAAATCAACTAATGATTTGATTGATGAATAGGTTAAATGAATCAGTTCATTGTATTTAAAGATATGTAATCAAGGGTAAAAATATAAACTTGTTGATCGATTTTTCTCTCTTTTAAAAATATTAAAAAATTCTAAAATGAGAGAGTGTGTATTCTTATCTAATACTGACAAGAGTCTTTGTTGGACACTATTTATTAAAATCGCACAAAAAAACAAATGGAGATCGGAGAATATCTCAACGAGGGGTTGGTAAATATGTTAATTAGTCAATGTGTGATTGGTATGAAGGTGGTGAGTGGTTGCTACATTTCCGAAGTGAATCAAACGCGGTATCAATGGGGATGACCAAGTCATTGGGGGATTCGATTGAGTTGTGGCTATTTTAAAGTCAAGCTTTGACGTGCAAGTGGGATGTTAGAGTACTTAGAATGAAGAAGGAATAGAACAGTAAGCCAGCTAATGGAGGAAGACTTGCTAGGGACATGTTAGAATATCATTTAAACATGCACGTAATCAGATTTCATGTAAAGAGTACTATTTTGAAACCACATGCATATTTTAAACATTGAAATGGTCAAATCAAAGTGACTTATGACTTGGTATTTGTTATGATTTTCTTCAATTTCCTTGTTTTAAGCAAGGCTTACCCTTCAATTTCTTCACTTGCATTTCCGACAATGTCCCAGGTGACAGCATTTGTATGATAAATTTACTCCAGTGTTTTTTGGCATTTCCCGGATGTGTAGGCTGATTTTTACCTAAAGAACCATGCTATATAGGCATAAATAACTAGCCGATTCATTTGTGGCCATTTGATACATTCATGTACGATCCACACAAGTCTCACATGAATTGCAAAAATGTCTCGGTTAAAGTCTCGGGCTAATTATTTCTATCGAAGAATGACCCTTCACTCCATACCTGCACTAATTATAAATGCCAAAGAAGCAACCTTCGGAAGTCGACGCTTGCTGGTGCATCCCACCCACAAGCTAAGAGAAAATTGAATTCAATAAAAGATCTTCAAGCATAAAAATACAGCTCTTCTTCCTCCCCTCTTCACCCTTTTTTTGCAGTGAAAACATGTTATGCAATCAAAGTCAACACATTCTTGACTTTAGCAAGCAAAATCATCTAATGCTGTGATTGATGAATAATAATAGGTTAAATGGGAAAAAAAAGATAACCTTGTTGATCCATTTTATTTTATTTTATTTTATATTTAAAAATTAATCTATTCTTATGTATTACTGATAAAAATCTTTATTGGACACTATTTATTAGAATTGCACAAAAAATTAATAGAACATTGAAAAATTATATAAAAATAATTTTGTATATAATCAAACGCGGTATCAATGGGGATGACCAAGTCATCTAATGGAGGATTCAATTGGGTTGTGGAAATCGTTATAAGTCAACATGCAACCTTTGATGTGCAAGGGGGACATGTTAGAAGAATACCATTTGAACATGCACGTAATAATGAAACCACTTGCATATTTTAGTCAGTGATTGAAATGGTAAAATAAAAAATGATTCATGATTTGTAACTCAGTCTTCAATTTCTTTGCACCAATATTTTAAAAAATGTGATGCTCTCAGCGTGTCAATCCAACGGTTGAGAGAGCGCGTGACAACATCTTCATGATAAACTCAGTCTTCACTATTTTCTTGCATCGAATGGACTCCGGGGGATGATTTTTACGTAAATGACGCTTTAGTCCACACAATACACTAATTATAAATGCTAAAAGAATCAACCTTCTGAAGTCAATGCTTGCTGGTGCATCCCATTCCCACCAACAAGGGGACATAGAAATCAGTAAAAAATCTTCAAGCATGGAATGATCATTCACACTCTTTAACTTGCATTATCATTAATAGAAATAAAAAAATGCTTTTTTTCACAGAATTATTTAAACCCATAGAATTTTATTTTATATATTTGTTTGAAAGTCTAAACCAGTTAATAGTATAAACTTATAAGTTGACTTCTTGCCCAAATAATAGAATTTCAAGCCAACCTTTCTAGCAAGGAAATAATGCCTCAACTTGCTTATCAACTTGCTATAACTTGTATATATAATTGTAAATGTGATTGATCCACAGAGAGAGATAGAGAGAGACAGAGAGAGCGACATAGAGGGCAATGGCATATAAGCATTTCAGCCACCATCACAGCTTGAGTTTCCAGCAGCTGCAACAAGCTGGTGCACCAGAAATCCAATGTTCAGGGTGCAAGACATCGGGTTCGGGTTCACTCTACATCTGCTGGCAATGCAGCTTCTTCCTCCACGAACAATGCTTTCGCGCAAGCCGGTCCATGGAACACCCTTCTCATCCATCCCACCCTCTCACTCTTGTCCCCTATCCAACTTACCCCTCTGGTTCCTTCATTTGCAATTCCTGCAACCAAACTGGAACTGGCTTTTCCTACACTTGTGCAAACTGTGAGTTTGACATCCATGTCCATTGTGCTTACAAACCCCAAACCACCACCCATGAATCATACCCTTATGTTCATAACCTACATCACTCTCTCCCCAACCAAACACCGGGTTTCTACGCCCCATACATGCCCCAAACTGCCACACATGCCTCATACTCCGTTGCTCCTAACCTAAATCACTCTCTTCCCAATTCAACACCCCCTTTCAGTGCCCAATATTCTCACATGCCTCAAAGTAATGACACCCATGAACCATATCCTAATGTTCCTAACCAAGACAACAGTTTCAATGCTCAATATCCTCAAATGCCACAAAGTGACATCCATGAACCATATCCTAATATTCCCAACACAAATCACTCTCCCCCTATTGGGACACCTAGTTTCAATGTTCAATATTCTCATATGCCACAAAGTGACACCCAAAAACCATATCCTAACATTCCTAACACGAATCACTCTCCCCCTATCGCGACACCTAGTTTCAATGCTCAATATTCTCAAATGCCACAAAGTGACACGCAACAACCTTATCCTAATGTTCCTAACCTAAATCAATCTCATCCTGTCGAAAAGCCCAGTTTCAATTCTCAATGTTCTCATATGCCACAAGGTGGAACCCATGAACCCTATCCTAATGTTCCCAACCTAAACCATTCTCACCCCATTGAAACACCTAGTTTCAACGCCCAATACTCTTACAAGCCCGAAACTGCAACTCATGAATCTGTTCTAAGTGGTCCTAGCCAACAACACTCTGTTCCAAACGAAACAAAGCCGACTTCTAATACAAAAGTTTCAAAGGTGAAGCATCTGCATTTCAGTCACCAACATGGCCTGCAACTATCTGAAATACAAGAAAAAGATGGGATTGTTTGCTCTGGTTGTGAGCAAGACCTTTCGGGCTCGGCTTACAATTGTGCCAAGTCCAACTGCAACTTCTACCTCCACAAGTCATGTTTTGAATTGCCTAAGCAGATCCAACACAAGTCTCATCTCGAACACCCTCTCATCCTTCTATCCTCCCCGGCTTACGAAGATGGGGACTTCACTTGCAACGCTTGTTTCCAAAATGGCACTGCTTTTACCTACAATTGCTCAACTTGCAAGTTTGATCTCCATGTTGGATGCTCTTCCCTGCACGAAACTGTGAAACGTGAAGATCATGAACACCCTCTTACTCTTATGTATTCCTCCCCACACAAAAAGGTAAATGAGGATGAAAATGAGGTGATCTTCGTCTGTGATGTATGTCGATGCACAGTTGATGAACACTGCTGGGCGTACTGCTGTAATTTATGCGACTTTGGCACCCATTTGCATTGCGTGACAGCTGAAATAAGCCAAGAAGAAGAAGCAGAAGTAGAGTCACTTTTTGCAGCTCAACTCCGAATGCAAGCCGAGATGCAAAGGCTTCAGCTGCAAATGCAAATGAGTCACCAGACTGCACAATTGATGGCCAGCATTGGACAAAGTATGTCCAACTTAGCTGGTTAAATTTATTCATCTTGTTCTCCTCTGGGGTGGAAATCATGTTTGTGTTTGGTCTACTTTTGGCTGGATTTATGATTTTGTTGCTCTGTCTTCCTTATTTTAGTGATGTTTTGCAAGTTTGCCCATTCAAACATAAAGTTTATTATATGATACCCACATTTCCAATTGTTTGTTTTGTATGAGAGAGTATTAACTTCAACAACACCAATCATAACTCCCAATCCAAGCATGGAAAAAGAGGAACCAGATCCTTCCCTATGCTGTTTCCATCCTGTGCCTCTCTACCTCTACCTCGCTTATGTAACAAATACGTTATATCGTTGTTGTTGGTGGTGCATTTTTCTTTGTAACTATTGCACTAGCGATTCAAGGCGGGTGCATAGGATTCCCTCCACAGGAGGGGATCCGGATCCGGAAAAAGAGAAGCAAGCGAACAAGAGTCAGCTTAGTTCACATTCTCTTTCACTGATTTGGCTATGGGCTATTGCTTCACTTGGTGCAATGATTCTAATCTTTCCTTCCCAGTCCCCTCAATTAATGAGGATCACACTGCATAATGAGGGGAAAAAAAGCCTTTCTAAGTTAATTATCAATTAATAAGAAATTTTCGGCTCCACCATTTGGTGCATTGCATTGGCTCTAAAGTCATTATTCTCATCTTAAAGAGAAATTCTTCCAAAACAGACGTGGGTTTCAAGACAACTAACTCCGATCTATATATATTGCCTCCCAAACTGACTTTAAAAATTAAACTTATAAAGTCTAAAACAGTACAATTTTAAAGTTTAATCTAGTAAGTGAATAAACTAATACATTTACTAGCTAAACCTTTCAGCAAAAAAAAACCGGCTTAACTACTTTTTTTTATTTTTTATTTGAGATTACTTGCTTAACTACTTGCTAGAACTAGTATATATAAATACACATTAATTATGTGATGGATCAACTCAGAGAGAGATAGAGCAATGGACTGTAAGCATTTCAGCCACCACTACAGCCTCAGTTTTCATCTTATGAATCCTATCCTAATGTTCCTAACCTAAATCAGTCTATTTGTAAAACAAACCTGAATTCTTATGCCCAAATGAGTACTATATGCTCCGAGGCACTGTCACAGGCCGATAAACCAACATTACTGCCAAAGCCAAAGGTGAAGCATTTTCGCCACCATCATGCTTTGCAGTTGTCCATAATGCAAGAGGAAGATGGGGTTCCATTCCCAAATTTGTGAAACCTGAACAGCTTACTCTGTTGTTTTCCTTCCCACAGTAAATCAAATGGCTGTAGAAAGGAAATAATTAGTTGAAAGGAAAAGAGTAATACCAGCATCAAAGAAAGTAAACCCTTCCCAGGTAGTTAATCAGAAATATACAAATGAGTTCGATTGAGAGATTTATTAAAAGATTCGTAACATTTACAGATTTAAAAACCATCTCGATTCAATAGTTAATAGGAAAAAAAAATTATTTTATTTTTATTTTTTTATTTTTTTAACCACTTGCATATTTTTTAGCCAATGATTGAAATGGTCAAATCAAAAGAATTTATGATTTATTATTTGCAGTGGTTGATCATGGGCGTATATAACTTTCAATCCCCTTGTTTTAAGCAAGACCCACCCTTCAATTTCTTCACACTACAGGATGCTCAAACGGCATCTTCATGATAAACGTACTCTTCAGCACTTTCTTGCATTTAATGGACCGTGTAGGCTGATTTGAATCAGATCACTTCCTATGTTGAGATTTTGTGTTTTCTGTCCTGTACCGCTTATGTAACACAATACATCGGTTACAAATTAACGATATAATGTTATTGCGTAAGCGATCTAAGTTAGTTATACATAAACAATATAAAGTTGTTACATAAGCGATGTAAAACTGTTGCGTAAGCGATCTAAATTAGTTATTGCATAAGTAATGTGAAGTTGTTGCATAAGCGATGTAAAGTTGTTGCGTTGGCATAGGACATCCTGTGACACATAAGAGAATCCAGGTTCGGCCTGATTTTTACATAAATGACCCCTAAAAGAAGCAACCTTCTGAAATCGATGCTTGCTGGTGTATCCCATCTACAAGCTAGAGAAAATTGAATTCAATAAAAGATATTCAAGCATGATTGATCATTCACACACTTGTAAACTACCAACGCTAAAATTCCTCACAGAAGCTTTTTATATCATGCTAACTTTGTATCTCAGAGAGAGAAAAAGTCAATTGCAGCTGGTGGACAATAAAAAATATCTAGTTGCAAGTCAGCCACAAGTTGAGGAACTACACAAGAAGCTACCCCAAGTTACAACCTTCTGTCAAGTAGATTTTGGGTTCATTTTTCAAAGATTGTGTTGCTGTTTCTTAATTTATACTTGCATTATCATTAATTGAAATCAAAATTACTTTTTCTTACAGAATTATTTAAACACTTAGGAATTTTTTAAAGTCTAAACCAGTTAATGGCATAAACTTATAAGTTGACTTCTTACTCAAATAATAAAATTCCAAGCCAACCTTTCTAGCGAAGGAAAAGAATGCCAGGACTTTCTCTACTTGCTAAAACTTCTATATATTACATGTAAATGTAGAGCAAGAGAGAGAGGGAGAGAGAGCAATGGTGTATAAGCATTTCAGCCATCATCACAAGCTGAGTTTCCAGCAGCTGCAACAAGCTGGTGCACCAGAAATCCAATGTTCAGGTTGCAAGTCATCGAGCTCCGGTTCACTCTACAACTGCTGGCAATGCAGCTTCTTCCTCCATGAACAATGCTTTCGTGCAAGCCGGTCCATGGAACATCCTTCTCATCCATCCCACCCTCTCACTCTTGTCCCCTATCCAACTTACCCCTCTGGTTCCTTCATTTGCAATTCTTGCAACCAAACCGGAACTGGCTTTTCCTACACTTGTGCCAATTGTGAGTTTGACCTCCATGTCCATTGCGCTTACGTGCCCCAAACCACCCATGAATCATACCCTTATGTTCATAACCTACATCACTCTCTCACCAACCAAACACCTGATCACTATGCCCCATTCGTGCCCCAAATTGCCACCCATGACTCATACTCTGCAGCTCCTAACCTGAATCACTCTCTACCCAATTCAGCACCCTCTTTCAATGCCCAATATTCTCACATGACTCAAAGTAGTGACACCCATGAACCGTATTCTAATGTTCCTAACCCAAACAACAGTTTCAAAGCTCAATATCCTCATATGCCACAAAGTGACATCCATGAACCATATCCTAATATTCCTAACACGAATCACTCTCCCCCCATCGCGAAACCTAGTTTCAATGCTCAATATCCTCAAATGCCTCAAAGTGACATCCGTGAACCATATCCTAATATTCCTAATCCAAATCACTCTCCCCCCGCCGCGACACCTAGTTTCAATGCTCAATATTCACACATGCTACAAAGTGACACCCAAGAACCATATACTAATGTTCCTAACCCAAATCAATGTGGAACCCATGAACCCTACCCTATTGCTCCCAACCTAAATCATTCTCACCCCGTTGAAACTCCTGGTTTCAATGCCCAATATTCTTACAAGCCTGAAACTGCCTCCCATGAATCTGTTCTAAGTGGTCCTAGCCAACAACACTTTGTTCCAAATGCTGTTAGCACCGAGGCACTGTCACAGGCCAGTAAGCCAACACATGTTTCAAATGCGAAGCATTTCAGTCATCAACATGCCCTGCATCTATCTGAAGTACAAGAGGAAGATGGGATTGCTTGCTCTGGTTGTGAACAAGACCTTTCAGGCTCGGCTTACAATTGCTCCAAGTCAAAATGCAACTTCAACCTCCACAAGTCATGCTTTGAATTGCCTAAGCAGATCCAACACAAGTCTCATCTCGAGCACCCTCTCATCCTTCTATCCTCCCCGGCTTATGAAGATGGGGAGTTCACTTGCAATGCCTGTCTCCAAAATGGCAGCGCGTTTACCTACCATTGCTCAACTTGCAAGTTTGATCTCCATGTTGAATGCTCTTCCCTGCACGAAACTGTGAAACGTGAAGATCACGAACACACTCTTACTCTGTTGTATTCCCCCTCATACAAAAAGGTAACTGACGATGGCAAGGAGATGATCTTCGATTGTGATGTATGTCGATGCACGGTTGATGAACACTGCTGGATCTACTACTGTGAATTATGCGACTTTGGCACCCATTTGGATTGCGTGACAGCTGAAATAAGCCAAGAAGCAGCACAGGAAGAGTCACCTTTTGCAGCTAAACTCCGAATGCAACTTGAGATGCAAAGGCTTCAGTTTCAAGTGCAAATGAGTCAGCAAACTGCACAATTGATGGCCAGCATGGGACAAAATTTGGTCAACCTAGTTTGATAGATTTTATGCATCTTGTTCTCCTCTGGGTTGGAAATTGTGTGTGTTTGGTCTACTTTGGGCTGGATTATGATTTTGCTGCTTTTTCTTCTTATTTTAGTGATTGTGTTTTTCAATATATGTATGTTGTGTTTTGCAAGTTTGCCCATTCAATTATAAAGTTCATTATATGATATCAACAGTTCCAATTGTTTGTTTTGTATGATAGTATTAACTTCAACGACATCAATCATAACTCCCAGTCTAAGCATGAACAGAAAAGCATGGAAAAAGAAGAACCCGAATCCTCTCCTGTGTCGTTTCCATCCTTTGTCTCTGTCCAGTGCATTTACATCGCGTATTCAACAACTTTACATAACTTATACAACACCTACATTATATCAGTTAAAAACCATTATGAAGGAAAGGAAGCTTATATGGGCCATTGCTTGGTGCAATGGATCTAATCTATCCTTCCTAGCGCCCTCCATTAACAAGGATAACACTTCATAACGAGGAAAAAAAGCCTTTCTAATTTCCGGGAAAAATGAAAAAAGATAAAAGAAAGAAGAAACCTTTCTAAGTCCATTATCAATTGATAAGAAATGTCCACTGCAGGAAATGGTTAATTACAGGTCTTGGAAACTCGGCTTCCCTATCTCTCTTTCTCTCTCTCATCAAATTAAAGTCGACACATTATTGACTTTAAAAACCAGTCAACTAATGATGTGATAGATTAATTAGTTAAATAACATGTAACTTGTATCTTTCTTTAGAGGGCTTTCAATTTAGCAGAAAAGTGGAAATAACAGCCAGGACTTGCTGGGAAACATGTTTAAGTACTAGAATATAAATTTAATCATGCAATCGAATTTTATGAAAACAAAAATATTAAATTTTTTAAACCACTCATTTTTGCCTAAGATTGAAATGATTAAATTAATACATGTTTGGAATTGACTATTGAATAGATCTCAATGGCTTATCGCAAGCTAGTGTGACGATTTGACGATAACTTAATAGGATTCTAATGGTCAATGGAGTGGGAGAGGAGGTAGCTTCTTCAATTCTCTTACTTGTAAGCAACAATTAGCTTTAGATTTCTTCAATTCTCCTCCACACTTCAAATGGAAGATTGAGAATTCAAGCTCAAGTGACGACGTGTGTGAATAAAGTTACAACTTGAGGAGCTATAAGAAGTTCTGCTCGCAATGCAATTTCGTCCTCTCCATGAACAATGCTTTCACGAAAGCCGCTCTATCGAACACTCTTGTCAACCATTGCACCCTCTAACCCTTGTCCCCCCTGGTTCCCTATCCAATTACCTCTTTGGTATCGAACACTCTTGTCAACCATTGCACCCTCTAACCCTTGTCCCCCCTGGTTCCCTATCCAATTACCTCTTTGGTGTGATGCTGTGGGTCAAAGTTTTTTTTTGACCTGTTTTCTCTTGTGGGTCGTGGACTCGGTTCCAGAACTCTCTTATAGCCCAGTATATAAGGTTTGGATTGTGTCGTGAGAGAAAGTTTAGGGGCTGAAACTTGTAATCTCTTATTATTCGCATAGAGAAATCTTTAAAAACCAAGTAAATTTCTGTGTGGGTTTACTTTTCTATCGATTACTTGATGGTGTTTTTGGTTCGCGTTATTCGTCATAACATCTTGTTCCTTCATTTGCAATTCCTGCAACCAAGCTGGAACTGGATTATTCCTTCAGTTGTACCATCTGTGAGTTTCACCTGTCCATTGTGCTTAAATGCCCCAAACAACCATCCATGAATCATATCCTGATGTTCACAACCAACATCATCACACACTTACCAACCAAACACCCTATTTCTCTGCCCAATACGTGCCTGAAACTGCAAATCATGAATCATGTTCTATTGCTCCTATTCTAAATCACACTCGTCTCTTCCTCCCAATGGAACATCCAGTTTCAGTGCCCATTACCCTTACCTGCTACAAAATAACACTTATGAATCAAATCCTAATGTTCTTAAACTGAACCAGTCTATCGGTAACCCCAATTAAACACTAAGTTCTGGTGCCCGATATTCTTTACAAGCCACACATGAATCTCTGTTCTCAATGATCCTAACCCACACAACACCACCATGTTCCAAATAAAAAGAAGGCAATTTCTTATGCTCAAATGAGTACTGTTTGCTCCGTTGCAAGCTGATAACGCAATATGGCCGTCTTTAAGTGCTTGAAAATTTAGAAATCAAAAAGCACCCATGATCTGTATACCTGAATATGGGGTTCAATGGAGAGTAATTGCTTTGATTTAAACATGCATCAGGAAGAATACTCAAATCGGTTGTTGGCAAAATAGTGGGCCCCACTTTCGTGAAACCAAAGGCATCCTTCGGTTAGTGTGTTCTTCCACCCACCAGTTCGGTGTATAGCAATGTCCGAAATGATATGAGAAAAATGATTAGGAGACCGAGGAAGAGACGGAAAGGAGAATAAGAGGAGAGAAGAAAAAGATAAGGTCATTAATGGTGGGATGAAGTAGTTTTATCGCAAGAATTTAAAGCGTACAAATTTGATTTCTTTTAAGGATAAATTTCCCTAGTAAAAAAACGAAATTTCAAGTAAATTTTCACGTTCATGAGTTGAATTCCACTAACTTGAAATTTTGATTCTTTTTAGTGAAACCTTCCATCAAGACCAATCAAGAAATCAACATGCGTAAACATGGTAACTATGTAGACATAACATAAATAAATGGATGAAGATATAAAATTTCAGTTTCAATCCTGTCAAATCGACTATTTACACACATGTGGACTCCTTCAGATTGGCCTGGTCCACACATGAGAACATGTGATGAACTTGGACCGTAGAACAATGTCCCCGATTTACATCCACAAGTCACCACCAGAACATGAACTGATGATGCTTTGCATGAGCACCATAGAAGGAAAAAGAAGGAAACACACTTTGATTTGTAAAACGAGTAAGGAAAGACCTCACCTCTCTGAAGCATGAACTGCTGGGGCACTAACACTTCCATTTGATGTCATTTCTTCACAAAAGAAACAGAAAGCGTCGTCATCATCAGCAAGACTGTGCCGCAGCAGCCACAAGTAGCTAAGATTAGGCCCTTATGAAGCTTGTTGAGCAAACACGACAAATCGATATTAAGACAGAAAAAAACACGAGTCACATGAAAGTTTATATTAATGGACATTCACATGCTGAAACATCCGCCGGGGTCCGCCCGGGGGGGGGTACCAAATTTAACTTATAATCAAACAACAGTAAAAATTCAATCACCTTCAAGATTATATAGGAAAAGTAAACAAATTAAACAATATCCGACTTAACTCTATACTGGAGTAAAATTCAATCCCCTCCAGAATCCAGAGGGCACCGGAAACAAACTTCCGATGCACAATTTTAATTGTATCTACAATTCAATCTTCTCCGGATGCCAAATTTCTGGTGCACAAACCTAACTACATCTAGAGGCTAGAGCCAGGTAGAGATGCACATCAAAGACATTTCAACACTAGGACAACTCTCACCCACAGCCCTAAATCAACCTCCAACCATTCCAACTACTACCTATAGCACTCGAGTAGCAAATATAGGTAATCCGCTGATAATTCTTCACAATAATTCTACCGCAAAAACCAGTTGATGCATGAAAGTCCATGTTTTGATAGCAGTAGGCCATGACAATAGTTTCCAACTTATTCCACAGTGCAATATACTCAACAAAATTCTTAAAACAATATTTAAGCAAAGCAATGCGAAGAATAAATTTGAAATTTGCAATGGACAGAGGAACCCAGATGATGGGTGCTCTCTCCATGTTATTAAGGCAAAGCTAGACAGCAAGCTCAATTCAGATTTACAGTGATAAAATGGTTCAATCTCCTTTAGGGTCACTGCAAACAAATGCAAGAATACAACTTTCCAACAAGACCAGTGGATTTTTAGTCACTCCATATTCGTATTTTCAGTTGGCTGCGAAAACAGAGATTACGCCTCTGGAACCTCCAATTTATGTCCTCAAGCAACCATCTACAAGAAGCATGAATTTCACATGCAAATATATAACCAGCACAACAGAGAACTCTACCTTTTCCCATTTTTTTTTTTTTTTTTTTTTTCCAAATTTATACTCACACACACATGCCTCCATGGAGGATTGAACCCCTACCTCCCTTTAGGAAGTAAGGGCCTGATACCGCTAGGCCACTGGTATGTTGGTCAATGAGAACTCACTTGTCTTTACTACCCCATTTTTTTACATCAATATTCCCTCTGGAAAAGGTTCAGATCTTTGCAGTAGTCTTCTCATATCAAAAAAACAATATGCAACTCATCTGTTCAGATGAGTTCAAGAGACAATAGCAATGTCATCCCCTTATGCACAAAAATTAATGCAAGCAACTTAACACAAGCAATTGCAGGCATATTCTAGAGCAACGAAATATAACGAGGCCTTCGGTCTAGATTCTTTCTACATTTATAAGTTAGGAACTTAAGACCTATATATATATATATATATATATATATCCAAGCATTTGTGCAAACTGTGATTGTCCCTCTGCTTGGGCTTTCTCAATTAACAATCAACATGAATGGTGAAAATTCCCAGTGTCAATCAAACAACAATTCAACACATGCATAAGGGATTAACGAAAGATTGATATCAAAGAATGAGTACCCACTGCATAAAAACTATATTCCAAAACCAACAATTATTATCATCACATCCCATTTAAACAACAAAGTGGCAACTATATTAGTTAGAGAGGAGTGAGTTTAGACTCTTTTGAACATTTCTACTCCTAATTAGTCCAACCCAGATTAGCAGGAACCACAAAGTAACTACAACAAGAACTACCACAACCTAGACAACATATATACAAATTTTTGCACAATAACAAAGAAGCAACCCGGAAATTCCTAAAAAGTTGTCATCATCATCAGTTCAAGACTTCAGAGCAGAGACTTACTTCACCTCCTTTACACAACATCGCCATCACCGACACTCTTCTCCGAGCAAACATCACCACCTCCTTCATTCTCCGACGCGTTCTCTGAAGCCTCCTCGTTGTTATTCCTCACCTGCACGGTCGTCGTCTCCAAACAATGAACCCTCCTCCTCAAGTCCTCCAACTCTCTCTCCATCAAGAAAAGCCTCTCTTTCAAGGTCAAATTCTCTTCCTCCAATTGTGATATATGAGTGTCCTGATCATCTACTCGGTTCTCCAAAAGATTGTTCTGTTCATCACCACTGTTGGGATATATCATCTCGAATCGACTCAAATCATGATCCAATCGCCTCTCTACTTCGACGTGCTCTTCTGCATCACTGTCACTCGAGCCTCCACCTTCCTCCTCATCCTCAGCTTCGTGTCCTGGCGATCGAAGCCGAATTAAGCCCTTCATCGATCCGTACCCATCCACACCCCACTCTTCCTTTGCCATATCAACCAAAACCTCCCTCGACGGTGAAAATATCGGCGTCGGCAGTATCGCCGGAGTCACCGGACACGGCGAGACAAGCGAAGCAATACCCCCGGACTTCTTCGCCCGGATTAAGAACGACGTCGTGTTTCGCGGCGCAAACGGGGCAAAACGGTTGAATTTCTTCTTCGGGTGAAATCGGCGAGCTTTCAAGCGGTTCTGAGACTGCAATTCGTTGAGATTCGGAGGTCCGTAGCCACCGGCGGTGAGGTTGCCGATGCCAAGAGGGTCTTTTCGGCGCATTTCGGATTTTTTGCCCTTCCAATTGCTCCATGCAGGCTTTGTTAATGCAAAATTAGGTCTTTGAGAGTTCTGAAACTTGGTCGGATCTTCAGTAACAGGTGGTGGTGGCTGCAGCCAAAGTCCGTAGCTTCGATTCATCATCTGAGACTGATCCATGTTCTTATACTACTCAATCATATGATTAAACCATTTAAAACCCTAATTTCCACTGCGAAACAGGACATCACGACACCTAAACCCTAGAAAATCGCAGGAAAATCCAAATTCACGCCATGGATTGGTCATGTAACTGAAAATCAGACCGTTAGGAATTGGATTTTTTTTATTAAAAAAAATTAGGAGTTTGATGAAACCCTAAGAACCCTAGAAATGTGAAATCAGACCGTCAGGAATAGGAAAATTTCGAAATTAGGAGTTCGATGAAACCCTAAAAACCCTAGAAATGTGGTGGTGATGGTTGGGGATTTGTTGGTTGCAGAACGTTAACGACAACGCAGGCACGTGATTGTCACGTGGGTCCGTGGAGATAAACAATGTAACGCGAAACGTGTTGTGTGGAGATTGGGAATGGATTAGGTACGTGGGAGGTGGGTATTTAAATTTAGGGACAGCGAGAAATGGACGGTTAGGATTCTGGAGTTTTTGTTTGGACGGCTGAGATTATGATTTATTTATTTATTAAGATCCGTATTTGGAGAATTTGAAGAAGTTTAATGCCCCTGAATAAATGTTGAATTACGTAGAAGCCATAGTTTATTCTATGACATAAATGACCCCGATCACTATGACATTTACATGAGCTTGTTGTAATGGAGGCTCTTTATTGTGGCTATTTATTATGGCAAATCCTACTCCAATTTTTATTCAGCTAGAGGCCCAAAATAGACAACACGATAGCTTTTTATAATTGTAAAAATAGAATTGTCATATTCATGCACTATTTTTTTCTACAAGATTATGATTATTGTTAGAGGCATTATTCTTTTATATCGAATTTGGATAGAGTGGATTTTGAACTTATAAGAACGATTAAACAGCTCAAATAAATTGTGACAATTTTGTAATGAGTGTGTGTGAGTAGGTACGAGGCACTCATAGGCTACAACAACATAACCTCACATTTCTTGACATGAAAAGAAAAAGTGTTATATAGTTAAAATTAGTAATCTCCAAATGATATAAGCTCTTTTGAATAAAATTTAAGAACAAAATCATGCAAACTCATACTCAAACGGAGAATATTTAGTGGGTCGACTCTTTCTTGACAAGAATAATTTTTTTTCATTTCCTGTGTATTTATTTAAAAAGTGTTTCATAATGGTATCCCATCTATGAGAATAAGGTTTTAGGCCGTCTCGCTAATCATGAAGAGTTGAAGAAAGAAAAGTAGCAGACATACTTTATGGACATATGAATCTCAAACAAAACTTTGAATAAGAACCCATATATTTTGTACCTTTAGGGTATTATATAAAGGCAGGACAATTTGGCTTTGTCCTAAATAATCAAAAGTAATTTTAAGGAAAAAGCTATAATGATAACCTTTTCTCTAAATCACTCCCTCTCAATCATTCCATCAATCAAGACTGACTAAAGGATACAAGATACGCACTTCTTTTATTTATAATCATATATATATATATATATATATATATATATATATATATATAGTAAGAGTAAATATCACAGTATATTGAAAGTTATGCCAAAACCAGGCCCTAGAATATTTATACACACTTTTTAGCTCTTTTAAAAAATTGTAATGAAATTGAAAGAAGCCTTCCATGTTATGTGTTCTCCGGATGGTATGCTTCAAAATTTTAGAAATTTGAAGATATATATATCCAAAACATAGACATGAATATCTCTCAGAAAATCACATTAATTATGAAAGTCTACCGATTATTAACAAAGGCCTGTGTGGATCCCATTATTGTAAAGTCCACACAGACTATCGTAAGTAATCGTTACCCATACACTCCTAATGACCTATTAGTAACAGAAGCATGTGTGACCCCATCATATAATGAGGCCCACACATGCCATTGTGAGTAGTCGGTTACCCATAAACTCCTCACTAATACAACCAACAAAAATGGCATTAGAAGCTATACAAATCATCAATCTATTTGCATTCGATTGACTGAAAATGGTTTACAAATTTACTATTTGACCCCCCAGAAGATTGCAAGGCCCCAGTCTATGCATGTACTATTGTAACAACCACAATTTACATATTGCTAACCATTTCTAGTATATAATTACAATGAAATTTACGTTCTTTCGAATATAGAAAGACTGAAGAATGCCAATGGAAGCTGACTTTTCCAGATGACAGAAATCAGTGCGTATATATTTAAGTTGCTGTAATTGCTGTTTTGGATGCAGACTGCGATTACTCTTTATCCTTGGAGGAGCGGTCTTTCCTGTGTCCACCAAGAATACGAGAGATTTGTAGACCTCTGCTAAATGCTTGGTTGAAAAGCATCCGCGTTTGGAATTCAGAAACAAATGGGAACCAAGCCAAGATTGTTATAGGAGTGAATAGAAGCAAGCCCATGACTATTTCATAACCACGAGCAAGAGTGCGAACAGATGCCCAGATTCCAGCTCGTTGAGCTAGAGGCTTCAAAGCTTGTGCAATCTTCAGACGGGAGAGAGAGAAAAAGGGAAAACAAAATAAGTCATAAATACGGAGAATTCACCAAATCATAGGAGCAATGTTGTTAACTATATTGGCATTAGCTCATTCTTCTACAGAAATGAGAATAACAAAGTAAATAGGTAAAATGAAAGGATCAAGGAAGAAGTCACCCACCAGAAGCAATCCCCATCCGGTAGGCATGAACGCAAGAATGCATACTATGATGTCCTGAAATGTCATATGGGGAAGTGCAATTAAAGTAATCAGAATAGCAATGAAAGTAAGGAAGATGACCCCCTTGATCAATCGAAAGACAAGTTGAAAGTCTGCACTAAATTTTCGCCTTCCAACCGACATAGCCTGCAAAAATGCAATATTATATACCAAATGGTAAAAGACATCATCAATATAAATCTATATATACAGAAGCATTAGCCTATTAGGAAGTAAAATTATAATACAAATCAAATCATTATTTTGTGACATTATGCATATTGACAAACCGCAGTTCTAATATATGTGTAACAATTTTGCTGATGATGCCCTAACAAGATAAAGTTTATGAATTCTAACATTGTAAGAAAATCCAACGACAATATATACTAAGGAGAAAAATAAATAGATGAATACAACATGATGAAGAGCAAAAACTTAGCTGCAATTTATTGAATTACAAATATGCACTATGTATTATGCTCAGACCGAAGTTGTAATACGATGATTAATCAACTCACTCCTTGATGGGAAACGCAAGCCTGTCATTCCTTGGTCATAAGATGGAAAACTCAAGTCTGTCATTCCTTGATCACAAGTCTCAGTGATAGCAACTATTATTTACTTATTATTTTTATTTTGGATCATTTTGCAATTATTCTTCCAATTTAGTTGTTGTAGAAGTAAATTTTCAAGAAATGTTTTTTGGAAGACAGATAAAAGTCGTTCCCACCAATTTTGTCAAGCATGGATACACATTAACTGTAGTTCTGATGCATTTTAGGCACTGTTATATTTTATCTCTCTTTTTCCAAGCAAAATATTTCGAAAGCACCAATAAGAGCTATAAGAAAGATCAGAAACACCTCTTTTCTCAATTTCTCCACTATCTCAACCTAGTAGAAAGCCCTCAATGTGGTAACTATCAGGATTAAGTATCTCATTGTGGTTGTCATGTGAAGGGAGAAACATCTCAAGAAGAATTTTCAAGACATGGAAACTCGACACCAAATTATGCCAGGAACATGAAGAGTTTGGAACTCACCTTGATCAAAAATAGTACAACAAAGATCACAAGCCATGAGATACCATAAACCTGTAAACCGAGGGAAAAGAAAATCAAATTAATGTTAGTTCCAGCTTCGTGAACATTACCGTACTTCATCAAATACATGTACTGAATTAAAATGCAGAAGAAGAACTAGTACCAGAAAACTTTTGGACTCTATGATGTCCAAGTGATATACAAGTCCAAACTGATAGATAAAAAAGCGCAATGACAACAAGATCTCGACAATGGTACCACGCTTCCCAGAATCACGAAGATGTTCTTGTTCCTGTTCCCACCATGATTCCCAACTTTTTTCTGGAAGCACACCAATTCCTCCACGGTTGTTTATCCATTTATTCCAATCTGCCCAGTCATCAATAATTTTTTGCCACTCGAACCCTGAGGGATTGAAGAGGAAGGGAGCAAATAGCCATGTCCCCACCATGAACCACATTGACACGGTAATCAATATATATGCAACCACACCTCGATATGACTGACCAAAAATCTCATAAACAACAAGCAGAATCATCAGCTCAATTGCCTTGACAAAATGACTACGGGAATATAGTCTGTAGTTGTCAGCGAACTTGGCATGGAACACAACAAAACCACGACCTGTACCTCTGTATTGGGCACCACCATGAAGCAATGTTCTCCCATAATAGTGGGTCTTTGTTCCAAGAGAAAACGTAAAAAATACAAAAGCCAACTGTAGTTGCATGAGTATGAGGTCACTAAACGCTTTTCGGAAACCACTTTCGAGACCCATTTCCATCACCATAGGTAATGCCATCAAAAATCCAATTTGCATTAAAGACTGAGAAGCAAGAGCTACTTGAAGAGGCTTATTGTCCCGAAGAGCTGGTTCGGTACTCAATCCTTTTTCAAGTCCACTTAGAACAAGATAAAGTCGACCATAGAGAAATACATAGACTGTAACCACGGTTAGCTGGCAAATCAGAACCACAGTGATTTAGAAAACTGTGAGTGAATAAAATTTACAGAGTAAAGAGAGTATTGTTCAAGTCATACCAAGGTATTGAAATAGAATCCCACAGTAGTGAAATAACATGACAGCATTCGGAAGAAATCAAATCGGTGTCCAAGCCTATATATGTCACGGCTCATCGTTTGCTCACCATTTCCATTAGCAATCTTTGCCTCAAACATTGAGATCTGGTTCAGGCCCACATCCCTCCCTTTGCCAACTTGGATGTATTCATGATGAGTAACATTGCCTCCACGTAGCGTAGAATTGAAACCTTCACACGACACAAAGATGAAAGTAAATGAATGTTGAAGACATGTTAACAAAATGAAAAACAAGGAAACTTTTTGCAGTAATGACAATGCCTGCAAATATATCCTCGCTTAGGTTGATGACTTTGGAAGCTTTGCTGACACCTCCTCTTGTCAGGTGAAACAGTCTATCAAACACATCTGGATGGCCATAGTGGAAGCGAACCCTAAATGATCAGAGACGGGGATAGTTATGGAAACATCATTGGACAAGGTCAACAACCACAAAGAAATAGAAAAACTAGAGTCAACATTAAGTGAAAAACATTATGACCATAATGGGGAAGTGGACTACTATACACTCATTTCATGATAAACACAACTGCAACATTTTTCCAACTACTTGGGACAAACTCATTTCTCTTATTGTGCCGTTCTGTTCTATCTCACGCCATATTTTTCCTTGAACGTATATTCAGATATCAGCAATCACCACCACCGCTTAAAGTTCTTCATTTGAGAAATGATATATAACAAATTACACTTCTCGGTTACAAACTTGTCTTCAACAGTAATTCAATAACATTTTTTGCATCACATAATATGGTGCTTGAAACCTTGTATCAATTTCTTTCATCAGTGTTGCTGCTGACTTGTTATATTCTTAGTTTGTTCACAAATGCTCAAGTCATCAAGCAAGATGACATTAAATCAATTTGAAATACCTAGAAATGGATAAGTACACCATTGTTAGAGCTAATTATTGTAGGCTAACATCAAGGATCAGCATTAAGCCTGTATCTTTTTGCCATGGTTATGGATGAATTCACAAAACACACTCAGAATGAGGTTTCATGGTGTGTATATTATTTGCTGATGATAGCAGTTAATTGATGAGACCAGAGCAGAGATAAGTGCTACAATTAGAAGTCTATGTAGACGTACTAGAATCAAGAGGGTTAAGATGAGAAGGACCAAAATAGAATATGTATATATACATATATGATGTAACTTTGTAGAATTAAAAACACAAGGATGCAGTGAAGATCTATACGTAAAGGATATTAAAAAGTGAATATTTCATTATGTTGGCTTGATTACGCACAAACAGAGATAAATTGGAGATGATATTAATCATAAAATCAAAGCATAATGCGCTAAATGGAAGAGTGTTTCTGGTACATTGTGTGATCTTCGTATACCTCAATATTTGACCAACAAATTATACCGAGGTGCACAGCAGGAACCCTTCTAATGCAAAAACACAGATTTATATCTTGCTAGAACCATAGCCATGTAGAAATTCTCATAACATATCAAACCACAAAACTTACTTCAAAGGGTTAGCCAACAATCTCTGCCCAATTGTTACAAAACTAGTCTCTTGATTTGACATGAACCATGCAAGAGAAGAAACACTGCACCAATAAAAAAAATGAATCAAACAAAAAACAAATATATATTTGCACTACTATGTTTGAGGTGAGATGTATGTGTGTTTACAGAATCACGGCAAATAGAACTCAGTTCCAGATTTGAAATAGTAATCGAAGTACCTGCCAGTGAATATATGCTCCCTAAGTCCCAATATTGTTGGATTCCTTACACCATGTTTTTTAAGAAATTCTTGCAGCAAGTTCCTCATTTTGAAGGCTTCTTCCATGTAATTATCCTATTGAGGTGAACATTTAACGAACTTACTTTAGGCGGACAGGTCGTGTTTATTAGAAGGTTAAGTAGATATAATTAAGATACTACCTGGTTCATATCTATTGTTTGCAAGCCTTCCCCACGCGTGAAGATTATTGCATGGTTTTGATTTTCTGGCTTTCCCTCACCCAAAATAGCTGGTCCTGGAAGTTTTATGCGATAAATAACCTGGACGAGGAGACTTGCACAGTCAATTGCAAAGCATTACGTTATATTGGGAAGGCATACTGGAAACTGTAGCAATAAAACAACCACAAGAAGTTTCAGATAAAAGAACAAATAACAGATTGCAACTCTCAGAACTGTAAATTGAAAAAATCAAAAGAAAAGAAGATTTTTAAATTCTCGTCAGTGGCAATCAAAATATTACCCACCGGAAGAAAATGGAGGATTGGAGATGCATATCCCTTTAATGTTTGTCTCCATTTCAAGCTTAAATCTCAACATAGTAACAATAGTATCATATACTTCATTGAAAATCCACTGATTCTCAGTGCAGAAAAACAAGCAAAAAGCAATATCCTTTGCTTACAGAGTCACAATTAACTACCAAAAAGTAAAAAGACCTTGAAAACTCAATTCCCACTTTCACAGTTTGATTTCAACCAATTCCCAGAAAAGAAAATATCAAAAGGAATAAACTGTAGATAGAATCAAATGATTGATCCAATGTTTATGTTCCAACAACTTCAGTGATTGAAATTTGTACCTGGTCTAAGTTTTGAACAGGATCCGAAGAGTCAGCAGACTTTGGTACAGCCTTCACAAGAGCAGAATAATAAACCTTCTCAACCGTCTTTCTGGATCTATCTTTGCTAGTTTCTTCAATCTCATCAATGTAAGCCACACGAAGAGATGGATACCTGCCACAAAGAATAAAAAGTAATGCAACATCAATTAAATCTATAAAAATAAACAACTAAACAAGAAGTCTAAAGACATACGTTGTCATAAGCCTCAGAATGTCTTGGGCTCTAGAATCACCAGATCGTTTCTGAATGCCATATTGCTGGCATGACACCACATATGTGAACTTCATATCAGCTACCGCTTGACATTGTGCCATCAATGACCTATCATTCCTAAGGTGTTCCTCAGTATTTGATTCAGCAGCCTTATAGCCTTTCATTAACTCTGCAGAAAATCAGTAACTAAGATACACAGCATAAAAAATTCAAGTACCTTATGGTGAGGGAATTACAACCAGGCTTCCTGTAAGTATTACTAGTTTTGTACGCAAAGACTAATCAGTGTTGGCCCAGGTTAGATGGGTTAGAATTTAATATGATTTGAGTAAACAAATATGGAGATAAAGAGGCTTTATTTGAAGAGAAGGTGGTGGAAGCTTTGAAAATTTTAAATGGGTAATCTCCCTTCCCATTTGTCATCTCTTCCTCGCAGAATTGTTATTGCTTTCTTGTGGAGCAATGTAGAGCACTTTTTTTGCCCCTCAAAATAGTGCACTTAGACAACTTGAGGTATGTCTTACTTAGCTTTAAAGCAATATCATATTTGAAGATTGATTTGGTAAACACAGACGATTTCAATAAGAGAGGTGGAGGAAATATTTAGCTTGGCAGCTATTAAACCTACTAGTACACGTGACTTATATTGGAACCAAGAACTACATCCATATATACAACTCAAATCAGCCAAAAAATCTACAAAATAAAGCAAAGAGTGTGAAAATTGTCCAAAGAACAAGAAACAAGATTGCTAAAATTGGGATCTTCCATTAAGTCGTTAGTTGGCTCAACAGGATTAGATTGTAAGTTTGGAGATCCTACCAAGTGAGGAAAAGAATAATAAGAAAGGTTATTATTGGATTTGAAAAGCAATGTAAAAGCATCTAAACGAATCCAAGAGAATATAAAGGAATCCAACAATTATAAAAATGTTTGAGGAATAAGAAAGGCTATTCTTAGATTTTGAAAACAATTTAATAGCATCTAAGCGTTTGGGGTCGCTGTTGGACAGATGTTGCATGTACATGAAACGTCACTTTGGAAAAAAAGAATAAATAACAAAAGAGAATAGAAAAGAGTACCTTCATCCTTCGCCATATCAAGGAAGGCCTGAAGTTCCAAAGCTTGCCGGTAGTACATCATACCTCGGACTTATTTGTTTGGATGAGTGGAAATATGCGTAAAAACTTAGTTATAATTCAAAGTGATCATGCCACATAAAATTTCAAAGTCAAAAAAGTAAATATTATACCAGTTTTGGTCAATGTTTGGCCTCTATATGATGCCCATAGACGAAGTTGGTCTTCCAATTTGGCATTTCCTTTAAGTTCTTCTTCACTGCTACATCCGACCCGTTCAAGAAAGTTGGTCCATTCATCTGTATATTATAGGTTCATATAAGAAAAGAAACAGTATTATAATAGTTTAATTGCAAAACATATCATATAATGCATAATTCTAAAGAAATAGCAAATAAGAAAAACAAACGAACCTGGAAAAATTTTTTGCAGATAGAAAAGGATAGACACACCATCTTCATTCTGCCTTTCTAGGAGGTTTATTGAGTAAAGAACTTCCTCTGTATAGTAAGGAGTTAAGACACTACAAGAAAATATGGCCACATCAGATATTACATATTTGATATTAAAAATCATATTAAAGCAAGCCTGAGTTGAAAACAGTAGGCTCCCTCTCCCTAACTATGAAAACATTTTAATTGTACATATTAACAGAAATCTTGCCACACGTAGCATATTCCTCTTGTTTCTTTCTTTCTGAAAGCAATTATGATTCGGTAGAGTTGGCTGCTTGAAAAGTATCAGTCGGTTTGCTTTAGTTATTTGAAATTAGTTTTCAAGAACTCTGAAAGATAGTTAACTGTCAACTCAATGGATTTTTGAACTGTTTTTTGTTTTTCAGTTCTCTGAAAACATAAAATTATTCTCATAAAACTGAACCTATATGTTTTGATGGTGTCCTAAACTCCAAGTCCAAATGGCCTTTTCTGATGCGACTTTTTGGGCGATATGATCCAGTTGCATGTGTTCTTATTAGGTTATTTTTTGGGTGTTTATCTTGTATTTAGACCCGGTTACATTTAGTATTTTAAAGGGAAGAGAACTCATTGTTATAAAGATGTTATAATTTGTGAAATTGATCAGCCATCATCTTGCATTCCCTACATTTCTGTAGCAAAATTTCTCTGTTGTCTTCAGCCATGGATGCAGGCTATACGCCACACCATGTAAATTGTTGTCCATGCTTTGCATGATTATTGATTTTGTATTTTGCTCCACTAATTTCAAACCTTAGTTTTAGAACTGATATGGATGATCCGATCCACAAGGACCATGATTGGGAATTGTTTGATCGTCTCTCTCTGAGGAAGAGGCGAAATATAATCAACTTGAATTTGGGACCGCCATTCGAAATCTTAGTGAAATTGTAACTAACTGGTATTGGAGTTCTCAGGTTGCTTCGATTGGGGTTTCAAGATGGTGCTGGCAAAATATGAAATGGAGAAATCTGATGGGCAGAATTGTTTCTCCGGTCTATTAAAAAGAGAGTTCCGTTAATTCAACATGATTTACACAAAGCCCTAACGGGTAAGGAGAAGCTACCCACAACGATGTTAAACAAAGACAAGGAAGCTGTACTGTGGATAATGATTTATTTTTTTCCTTCACCTGCTTTACCAAGCCTTGAACCCTTGATGTTGAGGATGTTACTTACTTCACATGTAATGTGAAATAACCCAACAGGAACCCAGGAGGCCAGATGGATAATGAAATTCTATAACAGGTTGCACAAGAAGCTCGTCTGCAAGGATAAGCTCATACATAATTACATACCAAAGTCATTCAAAAACCAGTTGTATCTAAAACAAAGCCTCTTTACTTGATCAGACCCTACTTTCATTATTGAAGAGAGAATGTTTCTATGGAAGATCTTACATTATCTTTCTTCTTTCAGGGATGAAGAAATAGTACATGCATCAAGCCGAAAGAAAGGGGATTCGACAATCAGAGGTCGATATAGATTGATGTCTAGGCCTAAAAAGAAGAATGCATGTTATTAATGGGGAAAGATTGGCCATTTGAAGAAAGTGTCCAAAGTTCAATGATAAGGAAGAGAAAAGAGGATGAGTCCTTTAATATTGTCAAGGCTGTGAAGAAAATTCCTCAGCTGGTGAAATGTTCTTTGGTGTCTGTAAATGCTATTGATTTGGTTGCTCCTATAACTTCTGTCCAATAAGATCAGTTACCTCATTAGTCTACCAATGACAGTAGTGTCTTAATGGAGAAGATTCAATCTTTACTCATTAAAACACAATGTGCCCTATAAGGATTAGAATACATAATGGTATAATGAGGACTTTGATAGGTGTTCGCCATGCTCTAGATTTGAAGAAAAATCTCATATTCAGGAAATCCTATCATATGATGAAGCCAAAAAGGCTTAACGCTTGGCAGTTTCAATTGCCTTTAGATTCTTCATTCTTTTGGGCAACATGTTGGGTATTAAAAAAAAAAAAAAATTGTGAGAGAAAAAAAAACTGACAGAATACAGTGCCTTTTGGGTTGTCTTCTGTGTGTTTTCTGGGAACTCCTTTTCGGATTTTTTGTTTACAGAGATGGTTGCACTCTGTTGATGTTTTTCTTTCTCTGTTGAAGATAATGTATTGTAGCCTTGTATTTTATTCTATTAACTTTTCTACAAATATTCTTTGCCATTGTTTACAACAATCCTGATTCTAATGGAGAGTCTCCATGGATGCCTGGCTGTGATAAAAGAGAAGAAAAGTAATGACACCTACTTTCTTTGGGGAAGCATAGTGACAGGTATTTTGGGTGCGTCATTGTTAGGGATTTAGATTCAGAGTTTATTCGGTGGTGGCATATGCATTTAGGGCATATAAGAAAGATCGGTATTATATAGTTGAGCTAACAAGGTTTGCTTTGTTGACAGGAAGTAGGGAGCTGGAGGATTTACCTTTTCCGGGGTTGCCATCCTTATTCAACTAAATCTGTCGTGCTTGATTTTGTAAGGATTATATCTTTACGGAAAGGAAGACCATGTTTGCTTGTCAAAGAAAGTCTTGTATTAATTGCAGCAATTTCCAAGACAGTGGTATAAGCAGTTAGAGACATTTATGATCCATCATGGTAACTCCAGAAGTGACAATAACTATTGTGTGTGTCAGTATTACATGAACCTCCCAGATGATTATGTTGATAATGAATCATGCAAACAACTGCATAAGGTTCTCATCCCTCAAATACAAGGCCCCAACCCGATCAAATACTCAAACATATGCAGTAGTCATGCAAAAGATAGAACTTACGAGAAGGAAAGCATATTCCGAACTTTAGGTGCTGGTGGCATGTCCATAAACAATGAATTTGAGAAGAAACAAATGCGCCGTCTAGCTTCTAAATTTGTTGGCACATCCATAGCAGATTCTTTCACAGTAAGCAATAGATAAAGTCTTCTGATCTGGAGAAAATAACAAGTTTCGTAAGTGTAGGAGTCAGAAAAATTAAATAAGCAAACAATAATAATAATAACGTCGAAAGGATGAAAGAAAAAGAAGAAGAAATGGTGAGACACCAGCCCAGCCAAGATTAAAATGTCGCCTGCCAAGTAGTGCCAGGTGATAGCGCCAGTGAGGGGTGCCTGGCAAAAGCACCCATTTAGGGGCACCGCTAGCATCGCCCAGTAAAGGCGCCTGCTAGGGGCGCCTTATAATGGGGACCCACCCTCTGGAATAGCACCCCTTTTATATGAAATTCGGACAGGCAGAAATGCATTCGACATTTGGTGTGGACTTGGCGAAAAGCCTGAGGTATCAAGGAGGACCTCAAGAAGATCCTTGACAGGATCAGGTTAGGAGTATGAATGGAAAAGCACCAGGTACTAATTTAACCTGTTGCAAATGTGCGAGTCTCGTAATGTAGTCCGGGGTCAGTGGTTACTGGAAAACTGAATGAAGGGTGTTGGCCTGGGAGGATGCTTGTCCAGGTATGGTAACCATTACGTGATCCGTGGCACGTTCATACCCTTCTACGCTAAGGCACCATCTGGGAGAGTTCTGATACTTGTGCACAAAGTGTCATTGCTAAGGAGCTCTGAGTATGGCGCCTCTCATGCCATGATGAGAGCAGGCGGAAAAAGGGGTTGCTCGAGGCGTGGATTGAATGAGGTGCTCACTAAGGCGGGACGAAGGGGCTGACCCATGACTCAAGAGGATGAAGCGCTCGTGTCCTGACTGGGGAATAATAGGGGGACAAATGGCACATGGATACGCTGACATGTGGAGAATGTCTGTACTCTGACACGTGCCATGAATGTTATAAATAATCGTGCCAGATGATACGACAGGGAAATCATTTTCTGGTCTGCCTCGAGATTATGCCACCATCCCTACTCCCTTGCCTAAGTTCTCTCCCCTACCCTCTCATCCTTTCCCTTTTCTTCCGTCTTATGTCAGCCTTGGAAATACGACACTTCCAAAACTCACGCCCTTACAGTAAGTAAGAAGTATAAATCAAAGAGGAAATGAGATTTTAATAATCACTGTGTTTCTTGGGAAACAAATATAATAGATTAAAAAAGGGAAAAAAAGATATATGGGAAGGGGAGAGAAACCAGCCATAAGAAATTCTCGCAATCTTTTTAGTCTGGTTCCCCCCTTTGTCTAAACATCAGACTGGTATTCTAGCAAAATGATCAGAAAACCCTCGTATGTTGTACTATACTGTGAGTAAAACTTACTTTCTCTTTCCAAGCTTCTGCTTCTTCTGTGACTGGATACTTAAGAGAACCAAAGAACTGATATTGTTGTTCTATAGGTGTCATTCCTTCATCCATTCCAAAAGATCCAGCATGGTTTGAATCTTGCAAACTATTTGATAAGACAATGAGCATATCATATTTATATTAACATGTAAAACATACTGGACAAGATAATTGCTTCAACGTGATTTACCTAGGAAATTGGTCCTCCATTATGTCTCTGGTCACAACCTCTAGCATGTTCAGTAAGACAATTACAACCTCATCCTTGTCCTCTTGTTTATTTTCTTTCTGTAGATTTGAAACTGATTCAGTTAAGATTCACTATCAACCTTAACTCCATAGGAACAATAATGTGGAAGTTCATCAGTTATAAACATTTACCAAGTATACAATAAGCTGAACAAATTGTTCATAGAGGTTTGGGAGAGCACTCATATTCAATTCACTTATCAGATTATCGTCTTGTATGTGTTGATCTACTTTGGAGAAAATTTCTTCTAAAACGCTGGAACAATTAATCAACATGTTAATAACAAGATATTAATAACAGTTCCGCTTGTTGTTTGATCAAATGTTTCAGATGGGAATTAACTTACGGTATTTCACGTTCCCCTAAAACTAAATAATTGATGATGTTTTTACATGAAGCATAGCACTCACGAACAGCACAGAGCATGTAATTGTCTGCATTCAGTCTTTTTTTCAGTTCACGGTCTCTGCCATTGCTATCTTTAGCCATATCCAGTGCTATAGGAAGCTAAAAATACACACAGAATAGATGCATACATTTTTTTAGCAAGGTTACATGACAGATTTATAAATCAATTGTCAAAATGAATCAAAGAAAGTAGCTCAGGGATTTAAAGACCTTGCTAGCAAGTAAGAACGGAGGCCACTGGATAAGGTCCAAATCACGATCTGCCCAATAAGGAACAAGCAGTAGGTTCATTTCCCTGTAAAACCACAGAAAAATCAACATTCTAAAATGATGCCTAATAAATAAAAAGGAAGAAAAAGTGAAAAGGAAATAATATGAAGAAAGTTGCAGAAGTCAACTAAAATTCAATTCCCCTATTGAGTAGGGAAACACTTCCTGGTGTTGGTGTCCTCATATTACCTTTTATCTATAAGATCCTCTTCTCTGAAACTAGTAATTATTTTGTTCCACAACTGAGCAAACCTTGCTGCCTCCTTCCCTTTGTTAGATTGGATCTGACATGAACATCCGACACATTGAACTTAATGAATCAACTAAAGGGACAGGAACTAACACTTGTCAGTATAATATAGCAACTGATGATAACTACCATAAAATATATACATGCATTTTGCATATGCATATAAATAGTGAAAAAATTTATTTAAAAGAAACTGTAACTGAACCTCATCAAATTTGCGAGAAAATGTGGCCTTCAGTCCCTTCTTAGGTTGCTCCTTCTTTTCCATTGGAACCAAGCAAGCATTGAAAGCACCCGGCAATGATTGAAATCGGGACCTCAACAATCTTAATGTTCGTATCTGAATAATGCAAATTAGAGCAAGTAAATTCATCAATTCAAGTATCAACAATCAACAACAAATGGACGCCATTATTTAAGAAAGAAGACATCTTTTCTTCACTTGGCTTGTCTGATAGTTTTAGGAGAACCACTAAATGAAGGAGTTGCAGTCTGCTATTGATACTAAAATGGAACACTTGTGTTGAGGAACTCAAATAGTATAGAAAATGAACGTATTACATCAAAGAAACAAAATGGTCAGCAAATCACTTATCCTCGCGCAAAAGGCATGCCCCCATTAGATGTACAACATCACGCCTGGTGCTTCATCATCATATTTAGCAAAATACGAACCTCGAGAGTCTTTGCTGGGAATGCTCTTATGTGGAGATAAATTAAATTTACAAAACTCAATTTTACAAAGCCATAATCCCAACTAGTTTGGGTCAACTTAATGAGTTCTTTTCCACCATTCTGGTCCTTACACTAATAGGCAGCGACAGGAATTCTTTTCCACCATTCAGCTCCATGTAGAAATGTTGGAAGATGTTATGTTTGGAGAATATCATAATAGGAGTGATCGATAGAATATTGATATGAGTGAATCATGGGAGTGATTTTAGGAATGTTTCCTATATATATATATATATATATATTTTACTAATAGACTAGTAGCCTAGCGGTATCAGACCCTTACTTCTCAAAGGAAGGTTAAGGGTTCAAGCCTCCAAGGAGGCATGTGTGTGTGAGTATCAACTAGGGAAAAAAAAAAATATATATATATATATATATATATATATATATATATATATATACCATATTTTTCACATGTTTGTATTATTTCACCTATAAATAGAGGTGATCATTGTATACAAAGATTAAGAGAGAATATTATAAAAGTGATGTAGCACTTTGGGCTCTTTGTGCCGTGGATGTAGGCCCTAGTGGCTGAACCACAGAATATCTTTGTGTTCTTGTTTCATTTCTCTCTTCACTTATATTTTATTATTTACAACAAGAACCATATCCACTATTAGATATTTAGCAATAATTCCGTTCTTCATAGAATTGTCAATGTTCTTTTGTACCTTGTCTTTCTGCCATCTTCAACTTGTTTTGAATCACTTGGTGTGCAGGTGCATTCATTGGTCGTTGGTTAATCATCAAACTAGAATATTATTCAATTGGTGTAAAATTTATGTTTCCATTTATGCATTAAATTCATACTCTATTATTTTTCTTTTTCATGGTCGTTTTGGGATTCCCACTCATTCATCTTAACCTCCTTGTTTCATCTTAATTTTTCTTTTTTCTTTTTTCTTTTTTCTTTTTTCTTTTTTTTTTTAATATTACCCAACTCCAAATACTTGGGAAAGGCTTTGTTGAGTCACTATCTTTTGAGCAAGTTGTCATTTAACTTGCCCAATATTTATGGCCATACAAACCCTCTTCAGGCAAAAAGTGCAGAATTTTAGAGAATGATATAGATGTTCAGCCAATGTAAGACAGAATAGAGTAACCTACTTCATTCTTTTATAATCTAGAGATGGAGTCGCATGATGAGAAAAGAATGGACGCTTGGTTGGTTGAGGTAGAGGAATCTTTAGTTGAGGTGGAGCTATGGAGGAGCGCGTGATGATGGACAAGGCTCATAAAAGGCTACTATCACTATGCTTGGCGGTACCGGGTTTGATTGAGTAGCTTTTTACACAATGATGGGGCAAGTGCTGGAATAGTTCTCATCTCACCAGCCAGCCAAAATAACCTCCATTACTCTTTAGGTGGTATCCGCCCCATGACAAATTACCTACCATGCCAAAATATGGTCTTTCAAAATGGACTTTGATAAGCGCACTAGCTGATTCAGTAGAGGTCCACGCTGGCTGGTTCATGAATCCAAGCAGGTCCGGACCCTGGGAAAGGGATCACTGGGCACTGCAATAGATGATTCTCAACTACTTGAGGCAACGGGGTGTAGACTTTAAGAGATAATCAAATCAAGAGTAAAGTATAAGAAAATGAAAAAGAGAAGAAAGAGGATGAGAGAAAAAGTGAGAGAGATAAGGAAAGAGAGAAAGAATGAAAGAATACTTTCATCCTTCCACCATATTCTATTTATACTAACAAGTTCCAAAAATTAAACATAAGCACCCAACATTATATAAGTAATGAAATAAGCCCCTGACAACACTCCCCCTTAAGCTGGTGCAAAGATATCTATCACGCCCAACTTGACTAACATATTTTGCAAGCAAGTCTTGCTCACACCCTTAGTCAAAACATTAGCAACCTGATCATGTGTGTTGACGTATGGAGTACAAATCAGCCCAAGACAAAGCTTTTCCTTGATGAAGTGTCGATTGACTTCAATGTGCTTTGTCCTGTCAAGTTGAACTAGATTGTGTGCAATGCTAATAGCAGCCTTGTTGTCACAATACAACTTCATTGACTCGCGAACAGGATAACCCAACTCACCCAACATAGTTCGTAGCCATAACAACTCACAAAATCCATGTGCCATGGATCTGAACTCAGCCTCTGCATTAAATCTAGCTACTACAGACTGTTTCTTGCTTCGGCATGAAACAAGATTACCTCCAACAAATGTGAAACATCCTGAAGTATATCGTCGATTTGTCATAGACCCTAACCAATCAGTATAGGTATAGGCTTCAACACGTAAGTGGCCATAACGGCCAAATAATATCCCCTTACCAGGTGAACCCTTGAGGTAGCGAATAACATGATGAGCTGCCTCAAGGTAAGGTGTACGTGGAGCATGCATAAACTAAGTAATCACACTAACAGCGTAGGCAATATCCAGACGCGTGTGAGATAAGTAAATTAGTCTCCCAACCAATCGATGAAATCTTCCCACATCAACTAATGGGCCTCCATCTACATCATTAAGCCTATGGTTCTACCCAATGGGAATATCAACAAGTCTAGCTCCAAGCCTGCCTGTTTCAACCAACAAATCCAACACATACTTCCGCTGAGAAATGAACACCCCTTTCTTTGATCTGTATACCTCGATGCCAATAAAGTATCTCAATGATCCGAGATCTATAACCTTAAACTCTAACCCCAAGAATGACTTCATTCGATGAATCTCTTTTGGATTATTTCCAATGATAACAATATCATTAACATATACAATAAGGGCAGTGGTGCAGCCTTAGTGCTTCTTGATAAAGAGAGCATGATTTATCTAACTCTGTGTGTAACCTACTCTTTTTACAGCAGTGCTGAACCTCTCAAACCAAGGATGTGTCGACTGCTTTAACTCATACACGGCTTTATTTAGCTTGCACACTAAATTCTACCCCATTGGCAAGCTTATACCCTGGTGGCATAGTCATATACAACTCTTCCTCCAAGTCACCATGAAGGAAAACATTCTTTACATCCAACTAATGTAAAGGCCGTTTCAAATTAACTACCAAAGAAAGAAGGACAAGTATATAGTTCATCTTGTCAACTGGAGCAAATGTTTCCAGATAATCAATCCCATAGGTCTGAGTGAAGCCTTTTACATCTAACCGGGCTTTCTATCTCTCAATTTTTCTGTCTGCATGATACTTTATTGTGTAGACCCATTTGCAGCCTACTGGTTTCTTACCCCTAGGTAATGGAACAATATCCCAAGTACCATTCTTCTCAAGGGCCTTCATCTCTTCAAGCATAGCTTTCTTCCATGGAGTTTGTCTGACAACATCAGAATGAAGAGAGAGCATGATATGTTGGAGATAAGGCATCATAGCATACAAACTGAGATATGGGATGTTTTGAACAACTGCGAACACCCTTACGATAGGCAATCAGGACATTAAGATCAACAGGAATGTTATCGAGAAAAGAAACAGGAGTATCAATGTCAACTGAGGAATTACATAGGCACCTCAGTAAGAACCTCCCCCTGAATGGGAACAGGCAAAGGAAAGGGGCATTCCCTCTAAATGGATGACAGATTCTCTACCTGTATAGTAGTCTCCCCCTGTAGAGAATCCTGAGCAGTTGAAAAAAAAGGAACAGACTCAAAGAATGTAACATCCATGGAAACAAATGATGATGAGTGGTAGGGTTATAACACCGATACCCTTTCTGAGTAGTGGAGTATCCAAGAAAGACACATCGAATTGCCTTAGGGTCCATTTTGTCCTTGCGATGATGAATGTGAACATAACAAACACAACCAAACACTTTCGGAGGGATAGTAACCAAGGCGATGTGATGGTGTACGACAAAAAAGGGGGATTGATAGCCAAAAACCTTAGAAGGCATGCGGTTGATAAGGTATGCAGCTGTTAAGGTTGTATCAGCCCAATAACTTTTAGGCACTCCCATCCCAATTAGAAGAGAATGAGTCACCTCCGTAATATGACTGTGTTTTCTTTCAGCTACACCATTCTATTGTGATGTATCGACACAAGAGGTTTGATGGATAATCTCGTTATCAGCACAAAAAGAGGCAAGACCACCATATATAAACTCTCCTCCATTATCAGATCAAAGGATTTTGAGGGGACAACCAAACTGAGTACATATCATCTTATGAAAGGTTTTAAAAATGGAATGAACTTCATCTTTGGTTTTCATAAGATAAACCCAAGTATATCGACTAGCCATCAACAAACACAATAAAGTAACGAAAACCAAATAACGAAGTAGTAGATTCAGGACCCCACACATCAGAATGAACAAGCTGCAAATGAGTTGTACTTTTATTAATACTAGTACGATAAGAAATACAACATTGTTTGGAAAGAACACATGTTTCACAATTTAAGTCAAAAGATTCAATATAAGCAAACTGGGGAAGCACATGCTTCAAAATAGGAAGAGGTAAATGATCTAGTTTATTATGCCATCGCATTAACAGATCTTTATTGACATTATTATTCCTAACACTAGATTGATTTGAAACATAATAACAAGTTGGCCTCGTGTTCAGCAAATACAAGCCATTGTCCTCACGTCCAGTTTTAATCGTCTTCCTCGTGTCCAAGTCCTGAAACACACAGTGAGACGGAAAAAAGGTTACACTGCAATTCAAGCCTTTTGTAATGTGACTAACAGAAATGAGGTTATTGGTAAACTTTGGGATATGAAGAACAGAGGATAAGGTAAGATTAGGAGAGGCAGAAACAGTGACCTTCCTCGCAATGGAAGTGAAGGTGCCATCAACCACTCTAACCTTATCCTTACCAAAACATAAATTGTATGAAGAAAAATCAGATGACAAACCAATCATGTGATCAGTGGCTAAATCAATGATCGAGGATGGGCCACCAGATAATGTGGAAACCTGATGTGCCGAATGAGAGGTACTTGTCTGAGTGAAGTTAAAGGTGGAAATAGAGGCATTTTGAGCTAGAAGATGCCGAATAGCATCAACTTCAGCCCGACCAGTATGTGCCGTAGATAACCCCCTAAATGGACTAGTGCTTGGCCTAGCATTCGCATGAGCAGGAGCTAGAGTAGGGCGACCATGTAAAATCCAGCATGTTTCCCTAGTGTGGCGCATATGACGACATTGATTACACTTCAACTTGCTCTTGTCATCCTGCTTCCCTCTTTTTGGAGGATTGGGTTTGTTCCATTGTTGTGTGGCAAGAGCTCAGACAATGGTACTTCTAGCTCAGGCTTAGTGTATACAGGTGCAGACATAGCCTTCATTCTACTCTCCTCAGCCTGGATATACGAAAACACGTCTCTAACAGGAGCAGGGGCTGGATACCTGCCTAACACTCGTACCCTGGCATGCTCGTATCTCGGATGCAGACCACCCAAGAACTTATAGATTCGATTCTTTTATCCCATAGCACGAAAGGCTTTAACATCAGTTGCACACATAGGTATGTAGTCTTGGTAGTGATATAACTCTTCCCATTTACCACATAGAGTGTGGTAATATGTAGCAAGAGTTTGGTCTTCCTACTTAAATCTTGAAATCTGTTGTTGGAGTTCATACACTTTTGCAAAATTATCAACTGAGGAATACGTCTCTTCCACAACCTTCTATAGCTCTTTAGCTTTTTTCACGAACAAAAACCCTTTGTTGATCAGTGGCTACATTGACTGCAACAACCACATCATAACTAGTGCATTATTTACACTCCACTCTTTAAATTCAGGATCACTCTTGGAGGGATACATGATAGTCCCTTCGATATGGTCGATCATCTTACGACCAATGATATGCATACGAGCAGATTAAGCCCACGCCATATAGTTCGTCTCATCCAGCCTAACAATCATAATACAAAGGCCTGGATGGTGGTCACTACTACCTCTCAATACTAGAGTCAGACTAAGAGAAGACCCAGCTTCTTTTGAAATCACCTTTGAGCCAGACATTTTATCAAACAATTTCTGGGTATGCAATCCTCATAAACAAAAAAAACAACAAAATACGTAGAGAACCACCTCTTTTAACACAAACAACTGCAACTAGGATAAGCAATCACAGAGTCACCACACAAACCCCAAAAAGCATTAATGTAGACCATACCAAAAATCGCGAATGACGAAGAAAAAACAACTGTTGCAGAACCAAATATATAACACCGAACAACGGTACGTGTGGATGTGATTAACACTACTTCCTTGCAAATATATCCCATCTTGGAATCTCTTCAAAACCTTTCACACCCACTAGGGTTTACACAAACTTGTCCTGGGGTTTCAACTACACACCTTGAGCTTTACAAATCATGCTCTGATATCATGCAGACTGTAAGAAATAATCAAATCAAGAGTAAAGTATAAGAATAAGAAGAAAAAAGAAGAAAGAGGATGAGAGAAAGAGAGAGAGAGATGGGGAAAGAGAGAAAGAATGAAAGAATACTTTTATCCTTCCACCATATTCTATTTATAATAACAAGTTCCAAAAATTATACATAAGCACCCAACATTATATAAGTAATAACAAATAAGCCCCTGACAACACAGGGCACCCAACTAGGAGAGAACACACGGTCAAGTCACTGTGGAGTTCCCTTATCTGAAGCTGCACCATGTGAACGAAAAACTCGAAGAGCGTGTAGTTCTTCCAGTGAGATGGGATAGCCATTGACTGGATGTTAATAAAAGTTTAAAAAGCCCCAAACATGAATGTTCTGGTAGGCGGCCCGATTACACTCTTATCCGCCCCCCTTTTCCTTTGGTCGAGCTGCTTTGCTCTTGGTCACTTTGACTTCCAATAGTCAGGAGAAATCCTAATCCCAAGAATGGCATGAAGAAAAAAGATATCAATCTTGGGCAAAGCAGTCTTTGGCAACCTTGACAAGTCAAATGGAGCGGATAGAAATTTAAGCCAAGGTAGAGATTGCTGGGTTGTGTCTAAAATTCTTGAAGATTGCGGAATGTTGAAGAAGTCCCACCGGTTAGACTTAAGTCCCACTGGTCCAACTTGGTTCTATTGTTTCACGTGGCTGAGTCCCATCGGTCGCACTTGAGTCGGATCGATTGCACTTTGCTTGATGAGTTGCGGGATTTGCTTTCTTAATTAGAAGATTTACTTTCCTATAGGCTGAAGACTTGTGGAGCAAGGCTGAAGACTTGGAGAGGAAGTTGTGTCTCATTAGGCATCTATTTTAGAGTTGTGATCAATTTGGTAACTTGTTGTTAGAGAAGGTATGGGAGTCCTTGTTAAATAAGTAATGGGTTGAAGACTTTATAAATAAAGGTGGAGTTGGCTAAAGGAAGAAGGTATAAGAAGAAGATGGGTTGAAGGTGCGAGCGTTGTAAGGAGAGGAGAGAGTATATGTAATTCCTGTGTGTAGAGATATAGCCTCAAAAGATGATGAGCGAGTGAGTGGGGCCTTGATCCATAATAGTGAAAGTTCATTCTCTCCATGGATGCAGCCCTAAAGGTTGGGTGAACCATGTAAATATGTTTGTTGATTGTGTGCTTGATTGATGTATGATAGTATCTTCATTCTGTGTGTGATTGATGTGATTATGATATACTTCCGCTGTGATTGAACGAGGGTAGGATTTAATTCCCAACAACTGGTATCAAACCTAGTTGGAAGGAGTTAATATTCCCAACAACACTAGTTTTTTTGCCAAATTCTAAAACACTCCCTTTTCGTTCATACAATTGTTTGGACATCCTCATCCAATGAAAAAGTTCCTTCTGGCCCTCTTTTGATTCCTCCAAACTTTCTTTTGTTATCCTTTTAATACTTTCAACCATCTTACACCACATTATATTATTTCGGTCTTCCGAATTCCATGTAATTTATTTTAACATCTTGAATAATTCTACATTGTCTCCTTTCAAAATTCCACCATCTAGTTCTTTGATTAATTCTTCCTCTTCCTTGATTGTCCTTTGATTCACATGTCCAAGACTGTTAACTATGTTGTAATGAAACTCTTTCCTAGAATAACTTTACATTTTTTATATGTGTGGCTGTTTACTTTTTTAGTTAGGAAAGAAATCATTCTGACTAGTATTTAATCCACTTTAAAGGTTATCAAATGTTGATCTCTCTTTTTTTTAAAAAAAATAGGTAGTTACTAACATAAGTTTATATGCTATTGCAAAATCTAGAATACCTTATCCAGCATCATTCAAATCTACCAACCGAGTCCACCATGCACAATTGCATATTTTCCACCATCTTTTCCCACATGACCATCAAAGTTTTGGTAAACCTATTTTTGTTCTTTAGGTACTTGAATTAGTTCATCTACAAATTCTCAAAATTGTGTTTTAATATGTTCGTTTAGTATTTCTTGGAGTGCATAAGCCTTAGTTATACTAAATATATTTCCTCCTAGTACAAGGGTTACTAATATCTTTCTATCCCCTTTTCTAATAACTGTAACAGAATTATATTTTTGAAGTGTTGATTAATTTATCTTTACTCTATTTCTATGTCTACCTTTTTTTCTTTTCAGTAAGCTCTGTCCATCTTTTTCAAATGTAATAAAGTTGTGATTTTGTATTTCAATAGCTCTAATTATCTCTCCACCCAATTAGTCTATTGTAAGCACACTATAAGTGATACATTAAGATAAAAATAGGCTAGCAAATGATGGATGCACCAATAAGAAAAGACAGACTAGCAAATAAAAGGTAAAAGATAATGAGACAGACCATAACTAATGTGGGGTGCTGTATTGTATTATAAAATAAAAAATAAAAAAATTAAAGAAGAGAGTTCATGTGGCCAATCCCATTCAATTGGGAGCAAGAGAAAAATAATAATGAAGATGACAACATAATTGCAGATTCATGCTTTCATAGGGAGCAGAACAACAAAAGACAACCAACTTATTTACATGAGAGCTAGAGGATAGGAGACTCCACCAACCTCCCCGAGACGGCGAAATGCACCATATATACCTCCAAATATTGTGGAGAAAATAGCATACCAAATCTGAATATCCATGAAATAGACCTGTAAAAAAATCATTTAGACAACAAGAACAATATGAGCATTGGATAAAAAACTGAGTGGGACAGATCCAACACAGAAAGAGATGTTAACATACAAGGACAATAGGAGCCCAGATTGCAATCACAACACCAATATTGTTCTTGGCTGCAAACAGCAAATAATAAGATCACAAACCATCTGGATGTGCTATATATGTGTGTTCGTATGTCTGTATATATTTGATATATATGTGTGTGTGTGTGTGTGAGAGAGAGTTTCATCTTGATTACCTCGAGGGAAGAACTCATGCCATTGGAATTTTTTTACGTGGACTTTCATAATGGCTTTTGTTGGACCAACAAGAGGCCGTATCTGCAAAAGAGAAAAAGTTAGACAATTTGCTGTTGTACGATGTGAAACAAAAATCAATCTGAGTCTCTATCATAATTTTGAAAAACTTTTTTTTTTCCTAGTTGGTACTCACACACACATGCCTCCACTGAGGTTCGAACCCCTGACCACAAGCCTGTTGGTAATTTTGAAAAACTTCACCAACTAGAACAAGGAAAGTTGGTTCTTGTCAAAAGCATCGTGATGGTTGCTAATTGGGTGCATGGCTGCCCTTAAACTCAAATCTCCCAAAACCAAGTTTACAGCCAAAGATTTTCGCGTGGGCCCAAAAATGTATAAATGTACTACTAAATATATCTATATGAAAATGTATTTTATTCAAAAAATTGATTAAGATGGTCTGACATGTATAAATAACACCGGTAAGTGCACCATTTAGTAAGAGTAACATGGTCCACAATAACGATAATGCTAGGGAAGAGGAAGACCAAAAGTACTATGGTTAAAGTTAGTAACGAAAGATATGATAACATGCCGTATGATTTGGGCTGGAAAAATAGGACTTATGTAGCAGACACCAAGCAGTTGGGAAAAGGCTTTGTTGAGTTGAGTTGAGTATTCATTCTACAAATATGTAACTGATATTTAGATATTCAGTCAGTTATATATTGTTTAGTTTGTTCATCAGACTTCAACTCTTATTTCTTTATTCTGTGAATTATACAATGGTTTATTTGTTCATGATACTTCAACTCTTTTTTCTTCATTAGATAAGGGGGAAGGTTCCAAATTTTGGTTGTCAAATAAGTAACAGTATTTTACGAAAGTATGAATCTATTTAACTTATTGTCATAATCTGCCAGATTAGTAGCTTAAGTCCAGCTTATGTTAAAATGAAAATCAAGATTCCCTTCCCACTAGTGGCAATGCATGGGATCCTAACAATCATAGATGAATGAGAGGAAGACCTCTACATAGAAACTGAATGCTAACTTTGCCACTATGAGGAGAACCCAAAAAATAACGTACCTGCAAGTGGAAACAGGCAAAACAAATTAGTAAGTGAAGTGCAGATTTACATCAAACTATTGTTCAATACTGTACTTACTTAACAATAGAAAACACACTCTCTTGCATTCCCCTTCCAACATAGAGCCGAGGCTGCAATACAACAGAAAAATAAAATATAAAGACTAAAAAAGAAAATAAAAAGAAACTGAACATAATAATTATATATTCAAAGGCAGGATGTTACAGTTTCAGGTAATATATCTACAGATACAAATAAATTCTTGACTGGGGAACCACAAAAAACACTAATCAACATTAAATAACAAAGAGATGTTCCTACATACCTGAGACCACCACATCATGAGCATCACAATTTTATAGTCTGACCTCTCTAGATACCGACGGATGAAAGGAAACAGAAACAGCAATGTGGAGAGCATGTTTGGAGATAAGTAAATGAGAACTGCCAAAATGAACATAGAAGGTGAACTGGGACTATTCCCAAACCAATTCTTAATTGTCTGACCAAATCCAGAAGGATTTTTCCAACTATATGCATAAGTTACTGGTAAAACGATCACCCATGCTGCAGCAGAAACAACCTTCAAAATGAATCTTAGCTTGACATGAAATGACATGATATGCCTTGCTTTCCAGCTCATAATTACATCAAGGACAGCTGCAATCATGAAGAGTGAATCATTAAAGTCACAGCATCAATGAAGTAGAATATTGTCAAAATAATAGCTGATCGCAGAGGCATATTGTGGATAAGATAGTATGCTCGGTCCTTTATACACAAAACTTAGCTTTCATCTTCTTTTCTTTGAAGACAGTGCAATTGCATATTGCGCCAAGAGCAAATGCCATAACAGCCTTTGATAGTTTTGATTATGAATGCATAAAAACCTGGAATTGCACTACCATAACTATTCTGAAGTAAAAAGATATGCGAGACCCCAATGAAATTGGAGAAAATTCATGGATAGAGATCTATGTTTCTCAAGACATAATTTGGAAGCAAATGACAGGAAACTGTTGATTTTGGACATTTGACCAACACTTTTCAGTAACTCCCAACGCGTAAAAACAAACCTATATTGTTTGGAAACGGATCTCTTTTAGTATAGAGATAACGTATATTTATAGACAAAGGTCATATTAAAGATTTGTATTTAATTTATTGAAAACTTTGACCACGTTTGAGATTAGAATGAATCATTAATTTTCCCGGGAATCAGCTTAAACCCCATTTTATAATCATGGTTAATAAAAATGGATTCTAATATTACTCATTCTTTTAGATAGACAATGACATCATTGAGTCACATTTATAGAACTTCACTTATCAAAAAAACAAAAAAAAAAAAATATATATATATATATATATATATTATAGGTACTGTGTATAGAATCTGGTAAATGTGGGGCATTGTGTGTCGAAATGGCAACACAAATCGTAGTATGCATCAAGATTCAATCAAATGTGAGTTATGTAAACTGATAGTTTTAACTCAAATAAAGAAAGATCCCACTTATATTTCCAAAAGAATTGCAATGCGTGTCAAATTTCCATGCAGATTGGTGTACAGCAGGAATACAAAAATAACCGCAGATCAATGGTTGTATCAAGAAGAAACAAATTAAAAATAAAGATGCAGGGTTCAAGTTCTGATAGGGACACAGACATGCCATTCTTATAAAGAATGAATACAAAATTGAATGAATGAAGAGGAACATTTCTATCAGGAAGCAACAAATTTCAAAAAGCAGAAAGCTTAATGAGTACAATCATGAACTTAATGATTTAAAAAAATTACGTAAAGGCATTAGAGTAGAAAATTTGGGAATATCACTGAACAATGTTATCTGTTTCTATTTACCTTGTGCAAGTTTCAATATCGCAGCGGTTATGAAGATGCTCAGCACTTTCTTGAACACATCACCTTTAAATATAGAAGTTGGTTGTCCCGAACCATTCCAAGCAATGATAATCATTGCCTTAAATGTCAAATTTATGTCAACGTGTCAGATCAAGAAGACAGAAGACATAGTATTAACAAATAAATAAATAGAATAGATATAAAACGAAGATCACCTGTAAACACAGAATAAAGAAGCTCCACATTCTGTCAAAACTCCTGAAAATATGCAAAAATGAGCGTATCTCGACAAAATTAATTTTTCCCACCCATCGATCTCCAGTAACTGGTTTGTTCTCCTGAATATCATCAATATCTACTGTAAGACAGTACTTTGACTCAAAATATGGTTGACAAAGAAAAGAAAAACAGAAGACGAAGAATCTTCATTTTTATTTTTCAAGAACATAGGGAAGTCTCTGGAATAGCGAATTCAGGCCAAAAAGCAACATTGCTTCAAAACTTCATAGGAAAGTTCTTCGGATAGCAAATTCAAGCCAAAAACCAGCCCTGCTTCATTAAGTCCAACACTGATGTCTCAAATTCTTTCTAAAAGGACATTGAAGGATGTTGGAAAGGATGCATGTGCAGCTGTCAATCCAAAATAAGATGAAACTCATGGTAGGTGAAGCTGTGACTTTATGTTGAACAGGAGGCTAAAATACCTTTACTAATGTCAGGACAATACGGACTACTATAGTAAGTGTTTCTTAATTATATTTTAAGTCTCACATTCCTATTATTAAACTAATTTAACAAAAAAAAAAAATTAATAATAATAATAATAAAATAAAATGAAGAAGGTATTAGCAAGCTTCTATACTGGTGGGCTACACATGACACGGGAAAATGTGGCTTGCAAAGAGAAGGAACAATATTTCATGACTTTTCATATTAAAAGAACCAACAACCAGATATTCATAAACAAGAAAATTGGAAGGCAAAAAATTCAAAAATAATGTAAGTCCCAAAATATTACATACATCACTTTTATCAGCTCGAAGCTGTTCTATCGGCTGATGGCAAAAGAAATCAGCATCAGCACGCATTGGCCAACCTAACCGGAAACAATCAACTGACCTACAATGTCGCACCAAAGAATTGATTTCACATTTCAGATATTGAACACAGCAAAGTGCTATTTGAACAGCAAGATACCAAAAGTATTCATTTAAGTCGTCGTAGTTCCTCCATTGAGAATGCTTTGATTTTCCTCCCTTCATCCTTCTGGCTTCCTGTGAAACATAGACAGACAAATCATAGATATATTAACTGAAAGTCAGGATGCAATAACAAGAACTACAGACAAAATCAACTGAGCAGAAGCAACACCTTTGCTATTGAATTATAGATTGGAGTAACTACTTTCTTCAAGAAAGCCTCTTCTTCACCACCATAGGCAGGCTTAACGTTCTCACCGGTCATGGGACTAACATTCCCAGCCAGCATACCGTACAGTTCAAATGCCATCTAAAAATTTGCATGCGAAAGAGGAAAAAAAATGTATCTGAGAATCACATCAAACTATAAAGACAATGAACAAAGAGAAATATACAATAACTTGGAACCATAGAATATTCCAGTAATTTTTTAAAAATTACAATACATTCAGACAATTTGATTGGCTTTGCGGACAAAAAAATGTGAAAACCAGGTTTAAGTTCAAAACCCAAGAGAACATGCTTTTTGTTTGGGTTTAAACATATTAAACTTCAAAGAAACCACATGTTAAATATAAGTTCTCAAACACCATTAAACAAACTTTATATCAAAATTGCCCTTATGCACAACTTTATGTAGAAATTTTCTCTCTGTAAATATTTTCATAATATATTAACATCTTGTACAAGTATATATAGGAATGAGGGAAAGCAATACGAGGAAAAGAATAAAAAATCTTCCTACAATCTGTTCCTAATTTCAAGCAATCAATCTGTCCTACAAACTTGTTCTAATTTACAACAGTCAGAAATCAATCTAATCCCTAAATCAAGGGAAAAAATATATCTTCCAACACTCCCCCTCAAGCTTGAGCATAGATGTCTCGAATGCCAAGCTTGTCAAGTGCCAAATTGAAAGTCGTACTTGACACTCCCTTTGTCAAAAAATCTGCAAGCTGATGTTCTGTCTTCACAAACGGAGTGCAAATTAATCCACCTATCAACGTCTCCTTGATAAAGTGTCTATCCACTTCAACATATTTAGTATGACCACGTTGAACTGGATTGTGAGCAATGCTAATGGCAGTTTTGTTATCACAGAAAAGCTTCATTGGATTCCTAGAACTAAAGCCCAGCTCCCTTAACAAAGCATTCAGCCACAACATCTCGCATATACCATGAGCCATGGCTCTGAATTCTGCTTCAGCACTGGATCTGGCCATAACAGATTGTTTCTTACTACGACATGTGACTAGATCCCCTCCCACAAAGGTGCAGTATGCTGAAGGTGATCTTCTATCTATTACACATCCCGCCCAATCAGCATCTGTATATCCTTCCACTTCGAGATGACCATGGTTGGAGAATAGCAAACCTTTCCCAAGTGCTGATTTTAAATACCTGAGAATCCTGTGTACAACCAACATGTGGGTTTTGCAAGGAGCATGCATGAACTAACTTACTACACTCACCGCATAGGCTACATCAGGGCGAGTATGTGCCAAATATATTAGCTTCCCAACCAACCTTTGGTATCTCTCTCTGTGTCTATAGGCATGACATTTGTGCATTCACCTAACCTATGATTTTGTTCAATTGGAGTATCCACAGGTTTGCAAGCCAACATTCCAGTCTTAGCCGATAAGTCTAAGACATGTGTTCGTTGGGAAACAAAGACCCCTGCTTTGACCTAGCAACTTCAATACCCAAAAAATATCGTAAAGACCCAAGGTCTTTAATCTCAAATTCTTTTGCCAGATATGCTTTCAGCTTACCCATCTCTTCACCATCACTACCAGTCACCACAATATCATCCTCATACACGATCAAGGCAGTAATCTTACCTCCAAATGAATGCTTGAGGAAGAGAGTGTGATCAGACTGGCTCTGGTGGTATCCATATTTCTTCATGCCCTGAGTAAACTTGCCAAACCAAGCTCTAGGTGACTGCTTGAGTCGATACAAGGATTTCCTCAATCTGCATACCTTACCTCTTTTAGAGGGATTAGCAAAGCCAGGAGGAAAGTCCATGTATACTTCTTCCTCTAGATTTCCGTAAAGAAATGCATTCTTCACATCAAGCTGCTGAAGAGGCCACTATAAATTTGCACCCAAGGATAAAAGGACCCTGATAGTATTTATATTTGCCACCGGTCCAAATGTTTCCTGATAATCTATCCCATAGGTTTGGGTATAACCTTTAGCTACCAATCTTGCTTTGAACCTCTCCACTGAACCATTTGCCTTATGCTTCAGTGCTTCGCTTTGAATACCCACTCGCAACCAACTGTCTTCTTTCCCTCTGGTACCTCAACAAGTTCCCATGTAGAATTTTTCTGTGAAGCTTCCATTTCTTTAATCATGGCAGCTTTCCACTTGGGGTTGTCAAGCTTTTTGTAACTTATTAGGGACAGACACGGATGATAACTGGTTTGCAAATATTTTATAAGATGAAAATAAATGATGTGCAGACACATAATGAGAGATGGGATATTTTACAACTGAAAAACCAAAACAAGGAGGAGGTTTCCTTTCTCGAGTGGGATAACGTGCCTGATTCTCAATAACTAATTCAGTAGCATCATGTGGTTGATCAAGTTGATCAATAGGTAAATGAGCTGACTTATTAATAAAAGTATCAATAGAGAGTTTAAAGGAAGGAACTACCTCAGGATTACCAGTCACAAGAGCACTTAATTGGTCATTGGGTCAATCAAGAGGTGGCTAAGTTGTCTGTGTTTTCTCCCTTTTTGAGTATACAAATTTGTGTGGCTCAAGGAATTTCTTTGAAGTCAGTGCAGAATTTTCAGTAGCAAATTCCTTCTAAGTCAATGTCGAAGTTTCAATAGAAGATGATACACTGGTTAATGGTAACAGCAGCACCTCCCAAGACATCTCTTCATTTCCCAAATTCTCCCCCTGAAGAGAAGCATTTGAATCTCCCCCTTAATAGTAAGCCTGATTTTCAACAAAAGTAACGTCCATGGACACAATCAGCTTTGCTAAAGAGGGTGATAGCATTTGTATCCCTTTTGTGTCATAGAATACCCCAAGAAAATACACTTGAGTGCTCTTGGATCCAGTTTACTCCGGTGTTGTTTGTGGATATAAGTACAACAAACACAGCCAAACACTTTGGGTGGGATGCGAAGAAGAGTTGGAATAGTGTGTGCTTTGGATAATGTCTGAAGAGGAGTTTGAAACTTAATGCCTTTTATGCTATAGTAAGGACAGTATCTCCCCAGAAAGTTTTAGGAACGTTCATAGCAAAGAGTAATGCTCTAGCAACCTCTAAGAGATGGCGATTCTTACGCTCTGCTACTCCATTCTGCCAGGGTGTATCAACACACAAAGTTTGATGAATGATGTCGTGAGCCTGAAAATAAACACTAAGCCCTCTCTTAAAATACTACCCTCCATTATCTGATCGTATAACATGTACTCCCATGTTAAACTAGGTCAAAACCATTTGGTGAAAGGATTAGAAGGTGAAAAAAACATCACTTTTTTTTCTTTCAACAAATAGATCCATGAAACATGAGTGCACTGATCAATAAAGGAAACAAACTAATGCAATCAGCTATGAAAGAAAGAATAAAATCTATAAGAGGAAAAAACAGAGAAAGAATAAAATATATAAGAAGAAAAAAGAGACCTAATTCAAGCTAAAATAATAGCTTAAACACCCACGACTCAATCCCAAAAGAAAGGGAGAGGTAAAAGTTGCAGTAGCATGCTGAAATTTATTGATACTACGTAAAAAGCTGCTCATTACAACTTGGAACAACCCTTTTATAAGCCACAAGGGATGCACTAGCAAAGATATAATCCTAACCCTTCAAATAAATGTAATCTAAAGGTTAGTTTTCTCTCCAACAGAATAAAGAGCTAAAAATTACAAAACAGCCCTTAAACAGTCACATGACTCACTTAAAAGGCACGTGACTTATAAAATAAAACCAAATGGCAAAATTATCCTAAGCATGAAATAAAAATAGATTAAAGACTTATAAATGACTCAAGACTAAAAACAATCACATAATCGGACTCATCATTAGATGCCCCTATTTGTGGAAACTCAGTCTATTAATGGGCACTCGGTCGCGTCTTTTTAGAGTGTTCAACTATTTGAAAATAGTCTTCTTCCACTTGCTCTGCATCAGTCCCTCCAGGTGAGAAAAAACTTGACCTCAAGTTAGCATCATCCTCGCTCGAAGAGTCACCTTGATAAGGAATCAAATGACGAACATTGAACATATTGAAGATTTAATGGAGGAATCAGTGAGGGAAAATCTTTCAATAATTGATGTTGTTTCCTATTATCGAAGATTTGGTGTTACTAGAAGAATCAATGGAGAAAAATCCTCCTTGTTTCCTATTTTCTAATTCTTTCCATTCTCATAATTTCTTCTCATATATAAAGGAGCCTCCATCATTGTATTGTATATGAATTGAGAGAGTATTATAAAAGTGATGTAGCCCTTTGAGCTTTTTGTGCCGTGAATTTAGGCCCTAGTGGCTGAACCACATAATATCTATGTGTTCTGACAAAATTACTGAAATTGGTAATCAAATCAATTGATTAAAGAATTGGGAATACACTCTTATATATACATCAGAATAATGCTATTATAGGAAGCTAATAAAAACTGATCCCTAGAAATCAGGGATTGCAATAACTAATAAATCTCTAGCTATTAACAGCCTGTAGCCTGTAAATCTCTAGCTATTAACAGCAGCCTGTACACAACCAATAAATCCCTAGCTATTAACAGCCTGTACACAACTAATAAATCTTATTTTCCCACACTCCCCCTCAAGCTAGTGAATGGATGTCATCCATTCCAAGCTTGTTGGTTATTCTCTGAAAAACGGTACCAGGCAATCCTTTGGTAAGCACGTCTGCTAGCTGTTCTCCAGTAGGAACAAAAAGAGTACAAATGAGGCCACTATCCAACTTCTCTTTAATAAAATGCCTATCCACTTCAATGTGTTTTGTGCGGTCATGTTGCACAGGATTGTGTGCAATATTGATGGCTGATTTATTATCACAGTAAAGCTTCATTGGACCTTCCCATCTGACTCTCAAATCTTCCAGGATTATCCTTAGCCATAGCAGTTCACATATCCCAAGTGCCATCGCTCTAAATTCAGCTTCTGCGCTGGACCTTGCAACCACATTCTGTTTTTTACTTCTTCAAGTAACGAGATTACCACCTAGGAAGGTGCAATAGCCCGAGGTTGATCTTCTGTCAATCACGGATCCTGCATAATTTGCATCTGTGTAGGCTTCAAGAGTCAGTCCTTCCC